TCGGGTCTGGTTCTGGTCAGGCGGTCGGGTCTGGTTCTGGTAATGCTTTTTATTTGACCATATTAAAAATACCGTACTAGGTAAAACCGATTCAAGTCAAAAAGTTTTCAGACATTTCCTGAAACTATCTGAGCCCACGGAGACGTAGTTGAAAAATTAACAAAGTTTCTTTGAATAACTGTCTTGCTGAACTAAAAGTAACTTGTTCGATATTTATTATGCTGTATACCTAGACTGAAGCTGAAACTGAAATACAGTTTCAGAGCGTCTTATTCCACGCGATCGTCGTTCGTAGTAAAATATTGAGAACCTGTCATTTACAAGCGTTTTCATTTACAAATTCTTGAACGACATGTTTGTTTATTGTTAAGAAAAGCGTATGTAAATTTTGTCTTTAGTGTTCTTTAACTAACTTTAACCAATAATTGCATTTGTGTGGAGTTTTATCTGTCGAGTAGATTCCGTTAATGTAGATATATCGGGATACAAATTAGCCTATTCATACTAGGTGAAAAGTAAGCACCCTCGTGGTGCTTTCACCATGTTTAAATCAGTTCAGTAGTTTTGGAGCCTAATCAATATAATATGAGGTACCTAGTTGAATACGCCAGTGCGTTTTAACACATTAGGTTTTTTATGGGATGGTAAAAATGATGTTTTTTTTTATTTTATCACCTTGAGTCCGGGAATTTCGACATTATGTATAGCGATAGTGATAAAAATGGGTGTAGTTACATTATTTTAAGTAGGTAAGCATGTATTCGTACCTACCCTTATTTATGCCGCCCCATTATTGTAGTATTGTAGTAGGGGTATGATTGCTATATTTTCAATTTTTTCATCACTTTTTGCCACTCATATTTCCATTCCCATAAGTACCATTTAATGAGGCAATGAGCGATCGTCATTACCTATGCAAAAACTATTATTAGGTACACAAAGCACCGTTAATTAGTTAGCGGCGCTACACATCGACACAACTATCATTTACACAATATACATGTGTGGGTAATTTCATATCAATAGATATGTATAGAAACAATCGTCTATCACACACATCTTGGTATTTAAAAATCATTTTTGTGTCGGTATACGCAATAATTTAGTAAATAATTTTAAATAAAAACGAGGGTAAAGATAAAATTACTCATAACAAACTTTGAATAAATCGAAATCAAAAATAATGAACGATCGAGCTATACAATACCCATATAAATATAGTGCTTTCTCATTGTAATTTTATGTTACTGAATGATATAAAATATTTCGATGATCTCATCTACAGCGCGCTTGGCGCAATGGTTATCGCCTCCAATTGTCAAGTAAAGTGCCGCCGGATCGATTCCAACATTCACATGTTGTTTTAGAATTAATTTATCAAATATTTGAAATTTGAAATTAGAAACAATTAAATCTTTTCTTTTTTTTCCTTTCCTATTGTTCTAAATCTTATGTTAATTTTAATAGTAAATACTTTAGATTTATTTATACCTATAATATCTTTTATTTATATTTTAGTTCTAGTTATTTATTATTTAGAATAATCTCATTTGCTTCATGCATTTCAACCAACTTAAATAAGATAAAAACAGTAAAAAAGTAATTAACTGTGATTTCTTAATGGTTCGATACCTGAGTATATTTGCAATGTTTGTGGCGACCATAGAAATCTCGAGTCATTTTATTTTACACGCTTATGAAGTAACTACCGACTATTTAAAACATGTTTTTCAAATCACCCGACTTACAAAATAATTGCGTTCTTAGTTGTCAATTTATGAGGATTTCATAGTTTATTGCTACACTACTTATATTCGTGTGCAAAGTTATTTTTATTTTTACAAGATGTTCCAACACCTATCAACATTTAAAAAGGCTGAAACCATTGTTTTGCATGAGCAAAACATAACTAACAATAACTGAAATAGCAAGGCGTTTAATGATATCGGTGAGTAAATAAGATACTACGTTGTTATTCTAAATAATATTTATTTCATTTTGTAACTCGACACACCTATCAATTTTTGCACTAGAATAAAATAATTATTGCAACTTATTATGAAGTTCAATATTATAAAGATATATTAATAATTTATTATTAATTGTATTGTAACTTGACTTGTTTTTGTTAGGAGTGTTTCTTTAAAACATATCTGGTTAGGGATTTTTATTCCTTACGCCACTACTTAATTATAAATTATTATTCTAACATTGTGTTTACTTATATTTATTATTATTTTTAAGTAACTTTAATTCCTGTAAAGTATTTCCTGGTATTTTAAATACTTATTTGTTTGGTATCAACAGAGGAGATCCATGCAGTTATGGGTGCACAGATATGCGGAGACCGGTGACGTTAAACATCGTCGACGTGGGCCTAAACCAAAGGCAAATTCATCGGCTCGGCACTACGACATCGTAGCCAGGCACATGGCTGATCCGTTCCTGCCAACCCGCACTACAGCGACAGCACTGAATGTTTTAATACAAACTGTACGGAGACACCTGCATTCTGGTTTAAGGTGCAGGAAGCCAGAGAAGAAAACATTGTTATCTGTGGTTCACCAGCAAAAGCGCTAAGAATTTGCTAAGGACTTTATTAATTTTGATTGGGCGAACAGTGTAATCATATTGAGCGACGAAAAGACTTTCAAGTCGGATAAGGATGGGCGTAAAATATTGTGAAGAAAAGATGGAGAAAGGTATACGAATTGCAACCTTCTGCCTTGTAGGATCAGTGATTGTATTGATTTCGGAATCAATTATTGAGCCTGTCAAACTCTGCCTTTATTAAAATTAACATAAAATAATGTTTAATTTTTTTAAGAATATTAAAATGCTGTCTAGAACATACGGTGAAGTGATGTTATTGTTTTGTGGTTAGAAATTGTCATAATTTCTTTCTATTCAACATGTTTATTCACTTCACTTTAATTTTTCATTAACAAATTTATTTAACTGCTTTCGAACTTGATTGACATATTATATTTACGCCCATCTTCAATTAATTTAAAGTTTCCCTGATTCTAAAGGTCATGAAAGTTAAAATCGTTCCATAGCATTCGTCACATTCTTTTTACTATCATACAGCCCACTGAATATTGAACCTTATAACAACCGTCGTAAAATAGATAATTAATGGAAGTTCAAACGACAAAAAGTCGCCCATTTCAAGAAATATTTTACATGTAATTTTTTACATGTTTTACTTGTTTATTACTGTAAAACTGTAATTTAATAATACATTATATTATTAAATTACAAAACAAGAATGTTGTATATTTGTTTATTACCTACTTAATAAAAAATGTTGCTGCCATCGTATTACCGCTGTACCGCATGATATTTCCCGATTCGACTATGAGGTTTATTGTCATATCTATTAATTATGATTTAAAGAACTTTAAACTTAACATGTGGTATATAATTAATTATTAGATATAAATATTGAATATAAAACAACATATTTGTATAATAAATAAATTAATTGTAATAAAAAATAGTATTGTTTTATTTACCAACTCATTTGCTTCTTTTATAGCCTGATATTTATATTTTATGACAAAAAACAAAAAAAAAAAATAAGAAAAATAACAAGGTAAAATAAAATTAACTTTTAGCTGGAATAGAACCCACATCATTGATCCTTGAAAGACGATAAAAGCGTGCTCATTAACCAATCGACCACGAGCACTACGATAATGACAGTGAAAATGTCGGGTCATATCAATGATTGTAAATAGTTTTAACCTTACCTATGCATTAAATTATAAAAATACGTATACCGACACAAGAATGAAAATACCAATGTGAACGTGGTGGACGAATATTTTTATATACAGTTATATGAAATTACGCACACATGTACACTGTGTAAATGACAGTTGTGTCGATGTGTAGCGCTGCAACTAATTAGCGGTGCTTTGTGTACATTTAATGCATATGAACGCACATTTCACTAACCGCAGAATATGAGAAGGCCATTTGCCTGGCAGTTGTGAAATATCACAAAGTGCCATGTTGTAACTAATTATGCTCCGAATGAAATACGTCAAAGCGAACGACGGACGACGAAATTAAAATGAACCGCACAATATAATTTATGTGAGGACAACATTTATGCATTTTTGTTGCATACAATTTGAGATAATGGTCTTTAGGTTGGGAACTGATATTATGGTGACGTAAAGTTAGTAGGTTATCTTAAATCAGTTAATGTGAAGAGATTAGGATCATTACTTGAAGGTTGAGGATTTATTTATGAAATAGGAGTCAAATTAGCAGACGAATCACCTGATGGTAAGCGATAAGCGCTACCCATGGATACCCGTAACATCAGAGGAGTCACAGGTGCGTTGTCGGCCTTTCAAAAAGGAATACGTTCTTTTCTTGAAGGTTCGACAGATCATTCCCCAGTTTTGCTGTGCGAGACATAAAGGTACGAGAGAAAGGCACAGTTTTAGATTTTAAATAATAAAAATTTAATAATTATTGCGAAGAAAATAAATCTTTAACTCTAAGAGAATACTTAGTAGTAACCCCATACCACACTATCTTCGATCAACAATAACTGTTGATCGAAGCACACTATGCTTAATTTGTTTCCAACGAATTAGGATTCAATATCATTCTAAGAATTTCAATACTTTGCGATAAGCCCATCTATAACATAACATAACATCACGCCTTTTTATCCCCGAAGGGGTAGGCAGAGGTGCACATTATACCACTGTACAATGTAACACCCACTTTTCACTATTTATGTTATGAGTCCCATGTAATAGGGGGCGAGCCTATTGCCATATACCGGGCACAATTTTAGACTCCGTGCTATTATTGAGAATATTTAAAAACCCAGTAATACTTTGCCCGACCCGGGAATCGAACCCGAGACCCCTTGCCCGGCAGTCGCACTTACGACCACTCGGCCAACGAGGCAGTCTATATAAGCGCATCTATATAACTATTTGATTCTTATCCTATTTTCTTTTGTTCCACAGTATTCGATGCATCAGGCCAGTACACTCCTAACGTGTTATTCGGCAATGAGTACTGGCTGGGCTCACAGAACGCCTGCCGCGACCTGCAGCTGAAACAGTACTATGCGCAGACGCCGCCCTTCCCCACCACTTTCTACGTCGCAAAAATTAACCTTACTGTCGACAATGATCATTTGCCACAGGTAATATAATTGATTTATTATATTTTTATAAGTTATGGTACAACATTTCTTTTCGGGGACGGAAAGGGTTTCAAACCAGGTTTCTATGAGTTGTGGGGCAAACGAGTAGACCTAAGTTTTATGATGGTAAGCAATCAACGCCGATCATGCAACACCAGAGTAAAACTTAGTGTGTTTTGTTTTTTCCAAAATGTGTGTATATTTTTATTGTTATTATGGAATGAAAGAAAAAGTAAAAATAATTTCACGATTTCACACTCATATTACGTTTGTTATAAGTCAAGATAACCTCCATTTTTTTTCAATAAGTTGCCCTACACTAGGATTTTCTCATGTGTCGTGGGTGCTTTACAAACATACAAGTTTACATACAAATGACACCCAGACCCAGAACAACAATCTGTGGATCACACAAAGAATTGTTCCGTGCGGGAATCGAACCCGCGACATGTTGAGCGGCAGTCAGTTGCCTAACCACCGCGCCAACCGTGCAGTCATTTTTTTTATCTTAGGATACAATTGACAACCTTCTTTTTCCTCGTAGATATACCTACAATGAACAAACCTATTTTTTTACAGTTATTTAAGCTTGTAATTCAACAATAATAAATACGAGAGGATTTAAAAGTAAACAATTTAAAATATACATGTAGTGTACCTAAAACCATTTCTGTATTTAAATCTGCACAGTAAATTCGATACTACCCAAAAAAGTTCGCATTCCATTCCAATGCATGGAGATCCGATTAATGGAATAAATTCAATGCTCACAAAGCGTTTGATGACCAATTGCTATCTAGCTATGGTTTAAAATAACATCACGCCTTTTATCCCGGAAGAGGTAGGCAGAGGTGCACATTACGGCACTTAATGCCACTGTACAATGTAACACCCACTTTTCACTATATATGTTATGAGTCCCATGTAATAGGGGGTGAGCCTATTGCCATATACCGGGCACGTTTCCAGACTCCGTGCTACTACTGAGAATATTTAAAAACCCAGTAATACTTTGCGGTCGCACTTGCGACCACTCGGCCAATGAGGTAGCAGAGAATAACATTTTAATTGTTATCATTTTGATGAAAATTAAGTAGGTATCTCGTTGGGCGTCAGAAAAGCAAGGGGACTGAAGTTTTAGGACAAAGTATTATTGGGGTTTTTCGAAAAATCTTAATAATACCACAAAACCTTGCCTACTTTCTACGGGTCTCATATCTAGTGTTACTGGTAAAAGTGGAAGTTACTTTTACCATCTTCACCTCTGTCTACCCTTTTAGGAATAAATAAAGGCTTTCAAGCATAATTTTTCCCAACAAAACTGTCACGTGGTTTCAACATAATCGAATATTTTAACAGCTATTTCGCTTTCTATTTAATGGAGGAGGTTTTACGTCAAGTTCAAACTTTCCCTGATGACTCGGCATTTGAATGACAAGTCAATCCGAGTTACGTGATTTCTTTGACCTCTGGAGGTCATGCTTGGCTTCAAACAAGTATATTAGGTAAGGACATGTTTTACATTTATGTAAAGTCACGCTTTTACTTGGTGACTCGAGTGCCGTGTAGGTTGTTCGGTCGCGTCGTGAGCGCCATTGTCGTGTGAGAGTATAAGATCCTTGTTTGCTCGTTAGATAGAGATTTCTATTACGCAATTTTACGGTAGTACCAATTGTTTTGGTTTTTATAGATAGAAATAACTGTTATACACTATTATAACAATGTTAAATATGTTTTGTCTCGATATTGCCACAGGATCCGAACTTAAACAAAGGAAATGAGGACAGTAATTCAATTAAGTGCGACTGCCGGGCGAGGAGTCTCGGGTTCGATTCCCGGGTCGGGCAAAATCTTATTGGGTTTTTAAAAAATCTCAGTATTAGCACGTTGTCTGGTATTGAGCCCTGTATATGGCAATAGGGTCACCCCCTGTTACATGGAACATAATTAGAGAAAAGTGGGTGTTACATTGTACAGCGGCATCAAGTGCTGTAGATAATGTTTGACCTCTGCCTACCCCTTCGGGGATAAAAGGCGTGATATTATGTATGTTTATATTAATAGCTTAAAAACAAAAGATAAATATCGCCAGGTCAAAATACTGTGAGATCTAATTCACTCTTACGTCAGGAAAGTTTAATATAAAAGTTTTAGTACCTCGGAGCGCGAGCCCAACCTTCTTAGTCGATATATAAAACCTCATTTGCTACGTTTTGATTCCCAAAAGGTTGGTATGAAAACAGAGTCTACTTGTACTGTAATAAAAGTGCAAAGAAAAATAATATCAAGATACTGTCCCTTGTATATTATAAGCTCGAGAAAAAACGTTGGAAATATAGGTAATTTTCATCAATATTGTATTATATTTTGTCTTTCCATTAGTGGGTATGAAGAGGTATATTTATATTTATATGTATGTCCCGCCATTTAATCCTCAAAATGTAGACAGAGGTGTAAAAGCGTGACCCAACACCACTATTTACACAATGCAAAGGAAAAAAATGTCGGGGTGGCCCGGAGGTTGAAGAAGCCCGCTTCTCATGCATGAGGGTGCGAGACCTACCAACGGAGAGTACCAATATGACTTTTTCCGAGTTATATGTATTTTCTAAGACTATTTAGACACCGGTGAAGGAAAACATCGTGAGGAAACCTGGGCTTATAATTTCCAATTATAATTTTGCAATCGCCAACCCGCAATGAACAAGCGTGGTGATTAATGCTCAAACCTTCTCCGTGTAAGAAGAGGCTTTGCTCAGCAGTGGGCATTTATAGACTGTTGATGATGATGATGATAAACCATATCACATATGATATGGTGTCCATAGATAGCTTAAATCGCTTAGAAACACTTTTAATCGTATGCTATTTTAAGTATCATAAAATAATTAAACTCACTTTGCTTTTTGCACTCATTTGATATGTAACCCATAGGATTTCAAACTTTAGCAGCTAGGCTTTACAGATCCCTTTCCCAAAATGATATTTAAATCTATTTTCGCGTTCAGTAAATGAAAGGAAGGGAACTTTAAACTGATATGAATTTATATGACTGTCATAAACGTTAACTGAAGCTTCATCCAATGGATTAGGGCAAGAAATGTGCATTTTAATAAAAACTGATCACCAATTGAGACGGGATTATAAACCGTATTACGTAGGTTGTAATGAAGATATTTGTGTAGAGTATTTTGGATTTTAGAATTTATTTTATATTTTTGAGAGAAATGATATTTTAGAGAAGATTTTTTTAATTAAAGCTTTCAATACATCATCATCATCATCAGCCTGTATTCGTCCACTTCTGGACATAGGCCTCTCCTATGGCACGCCACTGAGCTCGGTCTTCAGCTCTTCTCATCCAACCACTGCCAGCCACCTTGCAGATGTCGTCACACCACCTAGCTGGAGGTCATCCTACACTGCGTTTGCCCAGACGCGGTCTCCACTCTAGAACACGTTTACCCCGTGTTTACGTTTCAATACGTTAGTAAGATAATGTTGAAGGATTTTTTTTTTCTATTTATATCCACATGGATACGCCAACCCCATCGTACCCTCTTAGTTTTAATTACACTACCTTAAGTGTGTTGAAGGATAGTTTAAGAAGAACAAATTGATAGTAATTAGTTATCACTAAAATAAATACTAAGTATCAAACTTCGTTTAGGTTATAAGCTTTATTAAAAGTAAAACTAAGGATGTCGATAAAAAGACGAACATAATGTCATTAAGGAATGATTGAAGCTCCAAAATGTCAGTGGGTTGTTTATGTTTTTTTTTTTAAAAACGTTGCACCACACTAGGATTTTCTCCTGTGTCGTGGGTGCAGTTACAAACATACAAGTTCACATACACATGACACCCAGACACGGAACAACAATCTGTGGATCACACAAAGAGTTGTTCCGTGCGGAAATCGAAGCCGCGACACGTTGCGCGGCAGTCAGTTGCCCAGCCACCGCGCTAACCGTGCCATTTATGTGTGCGTGTGTACTGGGTTACTGCGTTACAAGAATTAAGAAAATGACAGATGTCCTTTGCGTCAATGTGTGTCAGTCTAGAGTAACAAGGTGCCACAGTTGCTGTTTTAAGAGACTATGTCCGCCTTTTTTTTAACGTCCTTGAATAAAACCTTAAAGTAAAAAACGCTGTTGTTGAAAAAGTCACCTTTCCAAAGATTTCAAAACTACTCGCCTAACTTGATACTCCTGTTACGAGGACGCTGTAGAAATGAATTCTAATAATCCTACTATCCTACTTCCTACTAATATTATAAATGATGCGAAAGTTTGTGAGGATGTATATTGTATGTGTGTTTGTAACACTTTCACACCAAAACAGCTGAAGGGATAGAGATGAAATTTGGAACTGGGGTAGATTATGGTCGGCATTAACAAATAACACACTTTTTATCCCATCCCACTTTCATATGGCCGCGGGCTAAGTCGCTGACAGAAGTTAGTCTTTAATCACGTCGGGGTCACCACTTTAGAAGATATTATTGTTCTTGAGATGTTGTGTATGGGGAGCGTAAATGATACACGGACAAGAGTATAGAATGGATGCTATATTGCGACTAAAACAATTTTACAATAGCAGGCGCAGCTGCACATAGGCACACACACACTTATATAATAAAATACATTACATTGCATGTTATTACATGCGTCACCAATGTACTTGTGTCCCTACAACTCCATCGGTTCTTAATTTCATTTTAACTACACTCAGGTTCTTTAACACAAATAATTTTGGTGTAATACCTAGAGACGCGATGTACTTAACCTTCTGTCTAGTGGTAGATATAATTTTAATTTTTATCTCTGAGCAAATTATTTTCATTGACTGACATTTAATCAAGTCTAGTCAAGTCTCAGTGCCGACTCCAAAATGAACTGGGAAAAGAATGAAAGGAATTGTAACTCAGAAACAGGCTGAACTTTTTACAGGCTGGATTCCTTTTAATTATTACTTTCGATCTCTTATTTTTATTTCAGCTAAAGTAAAAACAAATATTGGAACATATGAAAGTAATATTCATCGATCCTGTTCGTATAGATATTGATATTAATGGTCCGAAAGTTTCCATCTCTCGGGAGATGCGAGGCGTGGATGATCAACATTTATTAACGCGATATGGAATCTCTATTTATAACTAGCTGTTCCTCGCGATTTCATTCGCGTTGAATATGAATTTTAGTATATATTTCTTTTGTTTCAATTTCCCAAAATAAAAGTAGCCTATCTAATTCCTTAGTATATTAGCTACCTGACAATAAACGTCTTGAGAAATCGGTTTAGCTATTCCAGAGATTAGCCAGTAGGTATAATAAACAGACATCTAGACAAAAATTGTAAAAAAACATATGTATTACATGTGTATTGTGTTGTGTATACGCATGTTGTAAACGAGGTTATTTTGAATATTACAAACAGTCACATCAATTTTATTTATCTGTAGGTATACATATATATATGTAGCTTCGGTAATATTATGTTGGTCTATAATATATGTTTATTATGATGCCTGTTTTTTTTTGTAAGATTAGTAGTGTTGTTTGCAACATGCCCATATACAGGCGCGGTGGTTGGGCAATTAGCTTCCGCGCAACTTGTCACGGGTTTCATTCCATCTCGGAATCGAAACAACTCTGTGTGTGATCTACAGATTGTTGTTCCAAGTCTGGGTGTCATGTGTATTTAAACTTGTATGTTTGTAAATGCACCCACGACACAGGACAAAATCCTAATGTAGAGCAGTCTTTTTTAAAAGAAAAATAAGCATTACTGCACTAAATGCCACTGCCAATGTAACACTCACTTTCCACTATTTATGTTGTAAGTCCAATGTAGTAGAGGGTGAGCCTATTGCCATATACCGGGCACATTTTCAGAATCCGTGCTACTACTGGAATTTAAAAACCCAGTAATACCTTGCACCCTTAAAATTATTCATTAACTATTCACATGACGGTGACAAATAATCTACTAAATATAACAGTAAATTCTATGAAATACCTAAGTATTCTAGTAAGGTACACACAGAATAATGTAATTTCCTCAAAACATTTCATTACATTTACCTTACTTTAAACTCATCCAACAAAGTATTTGAACTTTACGACCGCCTCAAATACTTCAGTATTACAAAGTAAACGTTTCAGCATTTTAAATTCTTAAACAAAACACTGTCTGTAAGATTGTTGTGCAAGTAAAATGAAAAAAAATACGTCACTCTTTTTAAATAACAAAGTGTACCAATAGTGTATTTTATATAGAACTTTTTTTTTTAAGGGGGGAAATCATCGAATGACTGCTCCCGCCTGGGTGAGGCGGAAGGGAGTGTCAGACTCTTACTGACTAAAAACCACCCCGTTCCCTCTCCTGCACGTCGAGCCGGAGCCCCGGTTACCCGTTAGGTTCACCGCGACACTTTATATAGAACTAGATGTTGCCCTCAACTTCGTCCGCGAAGAATATGAATTTTAGGACATAACTTTTTTTCTTTTAAATTTCCAAAATCAAAGTCGCCTGTGTTCCTCCTTAGTGTAAGTGTAACCCGTCAAAATCGGTCCTGTTATTCCAGAGATTAGCCAGTACAAACAGAACAGACAGACGGACAGACAGACAAAAATTACATAAAAATATTTTGGTATGAGTGTCGTATGTATATTCATATGCATGTAGTCAAAAGTGGTTATTTTCATATTACAAACAGATACTCTAATTTTATTTTCCTGTTTAGATGTCTGAAGGGTACAAAACCTGAAGAGGTTTTATTTAATAAACGAAAGAAATGCAAGCGGAGTTAAGAAAGCATTTAGCTAGTTAGCATTCGCATAATAGTTTATTTCCATAAATATTGTACAATATTCCATTCCATGCCAGTTACAGAGAACTATTAAAGAAAAGTTGTAATCTAATCGTGTATTTCCCCGACCCAGCACTCATTGTTTCGCTACCAATGACATAGTTTGACACAAACAGTTGAACAGACAAATTCTGTACATTTGTATACTTAATGCCGTAAAGACGAAGAAAAGCGATGGGAAACAGCAGCTGTCTGAACTTGTTTAGACAGCAGGTGAACCTAAACCAATCTATCAAACTTTTTATTAGAGATTCAACTTTAACATCTTTGAAATAAAGTCCAATATAGTTTTAACAGGTACGGATAGGTTGATATGCTGATGTTTCTGCTTAGGTACACCGATATATCGTGCGAGCATTCGTCACGTTGACTGACGTTCAATTACTGAGCTCAGGCTTACGCAAAGGTCACAGATACCTGCTCATCTAATGAATGGAGTGCATTGAGCAACCCTGGCGACTGGTGACATACTGGCTCAGTCTTGGAAACTTAGCAAGGAAGATATTCAAGAAATATGACTTGTTTATCCATTGGGTTTTAATCATTGTTGCTGGTTTTTTGGAGGACTATGTACAAACCCCCAAAAGGATAGGAAAAGAAGGGCCTATTACCTAAATGCCAACCCACTTCACACTAGTTGACAAAACTAAGTGATATAGGCTTTAAGGAATAAGTAACGTGTCGTTTACAGATTTTTATCGCAAATTAAATGTTGAGGGATTGGGGTTCAAAGAAAAGATGGATGGGATTGTGAGAAAAGTGATAGAAAAAGGGTTGGAATGAAGTAATAGAGTAAAGAGGAAGAGAATTGGTAAAAGTAATCGAAACAAGACCGCGCACGATGCTCTGATTGGTTGTTCCATTGGAGCCGGCCAATTAGAGCGCCGGACGCGGTCTCATTTCGATTACCTACCTACTTTAAACGTAAAACAAACTCGTACTGAGGCCTCTGTTTACCCAAAGAAAGGATATGAAATAAGACATTGTGTATTAAATAGTTCACCACAAAGAAGAAAATTAATCGACTACTATGTTGGTATCATTTAATGAGCCATTTCTTCTCATTAAAAAATAACCAACAATTGCCTACCAGAATAAAGATTTATTGACCGGCCATTTTGTTTGCCAAACCAAAACTTTTGACGGCATCAACTGAAAATTTCGATATTCATTACCATTTATTATGTTTCATTTATTGTATTTGGTAGCCTTTTTTACATAACGTACCACTACAAGTACTGAAGAATACCAATGTATTAAACTTACTCCACAATTCTAATCATCTTGTTTCTTCTACAGAGTCGACTGATGCTAGTAGGAGAGTGCGTACCAGCATCATGCGACATCAGCGCCCTCACCACCATACTCGGCGCCGCTGAACGAGCAGCCGCTGCGCAAGCGTCGGACTCCGGCCTTCTAGCATCATTCTCCACCGTCAAAGTGCGACCTGTACCCGGGGATTATGACTTATTTGCTGATCCTAAACTGCAGATACTTGGGTAAGAACATAGATAAGTCATTTATTGACACTTTGATTTCAAGTCAACCCCCTAACCTAATCCCCAACAATTCTCAAATTCCTAATCCCAAAAGGCCGGTAAAGCACTTGTAACGCCTCTAGTGTTCCAGGTGTCCATGGGCGACGCCGATTGCTTACCATCAGGTGTTCTGTCTGCTTGTTTACCGGTTTATCCCATAAAAAAGCAAATAATCAACAACTGGTCATTTGCCAAAAGTAATTGAGTCTTTTTGAATACGATTGCAATCAAATGTTTTATTGAAAAAATGTAATTCATTTTATATCTATCACGAACCTTTGTACCACAGAGGTAGGTAGAAACGACATATCGTAGTTTTGTACAATTCTTATCCTGACATACTTCTCTATTTTCCATTATATTAAGACACCTACCTATATCCCTGGAAATGTCGCGGAGAACCTAACGGGTAACCGGGGCTCCGGCTCGACGTGCAGGAGAAGGAAGGGGGTGGTTTTTAGTCAGTAAGAGTCTGACACTCCCTCCCGCCTCGCCCAGGCGGGAGCAGTCATTCGATGATTTTCCCCCCTTAAAAAAAATATCCCTGGAAATACATACATTGATTTGATAGATAACATATCATTAACTAATGACAGTTCCTTCTAATTTCGTAGTACCTAATCAAATAATTACATCATTATACGTATGGATGTATGTATATGAAGAGCCACGTATATAATTAATTAGTTCAGTTCACTGTGGCTGACGTATTATCTATGTATGTAAATCACATTGCCGGGCGTTCTAGATATATTACATATCAATGCTTAGCTTATTCATCTATATCTCATCTATCTCATAGCAGATAACTTAATTGTGAATAGACCGAGAATTGTATTTAAAGAACTGGCCCGATGGTCGAGTGCTCGCAAGTGCGACTTCCGGGCAAGAGTTCTCGGGTTAGATACCCACGTCGGGCAAAGTATTACTGGGTTTTTAAGAAAATTGTTAGTAGTTGCACATAGTCTGGAAATGTGCCCGGTATGGCTCACATTAGCTCACCCTCTGTTACATGGGACTCATAACATAAATAGTGAAAAGTGGGTGTTACATTGTACAGTATGGCATTAAGTGCCGTAATATGCACCTCTGCCTACCGCTTCGGGGATGAAAGGCATGATCTATTTAAATAAATTGCATATTAAAAACTCATTGATACTATGCTTGACCCAAATTAGAAATAAGACAATTACTACTAACTTTTTTTTAATAATAAATACTTGATTTCGACGCATTTATCCTTCTACAATCCACATTCATACCTATATCAATTATTTTAACACACATACAATTGCGAAATTTAATAAAAATAATTTAGAACAAAATTAGACTTTGCACAAATAGAAACACGTGCTAATCTTGACCTGAATGCGAACCAAAGGCACGCATCGCGTAATTTTACTAAACAATTAATAGAACGTTTCGAATGTCATAAATACATTCACTTGTTTTCAGCCTGCATTCAAAAGCTAAGGTCACCTTATTTCTATGGAATAGCTAAGTAAAGGAGGACACATATGGTAAGCCATCAGCGCCACCCCGAACTCCCGTAACACCAGACGAGTAACAAGTGCGTTGCTGGTATTTTGGGAATAGGGACGGGATTGATCCTCCAGTAACCTCACTTAGACGACGCAACACCATACAAACTCGTTAATTCTTCATCCGGAGCTACGGACGACTTATCGGGTTACAGGAGCCCCGGCTCGAAACTAGTAGGAACAGTGCCTTTCGCCAAACGCCACTTTAGCGCTTGTCTACAGAGATAGTAGAAAACTAAATGCATGGGAATGACACTGATAAGTGTCAAAATTTACGTCAATTCCATATAATTTGGTTTTCTATTTTACATGTAGACAAGCGCTAAATGTCGCGAAGAACCTAACGGGTTACCAGGGCTCCGGCTCAATGTGCAGGAGAAGGAACGGGGTGGTTTTTAGTCAGTAAGAGTCTGACACAATCTCCCGCCTCACCCAGGCGGGAGTAGTCATTCGATGTTTTTCCCATCTTAAAAAAAAAACAAGCGCTAAATGGCATTTGGCTACAGGCTCAGGGTGGTTTTTAGTCAATAAGATTCTGACCCCTCGCCTCACACAAGGTGGGATAAGTCAGTGGATGATTTTCCCCCTGATCCAATTTTCCACCTGGCCCATTTGTGTCGAAGCATAATAGGCTCTTGCATATCAAAAATTCCAAAACCATGACACTATATTCATATGATTTATGGCTAAAAAACAAAGATATGCTGAAGAGGCGTCAGAGAAAGATATATTATTCACCAGAGGCGTTTAGCAATCTCCTTAGTTATAAGAGTCACGTATGTCATACAAGGTCACGCTTTTATTCCAAAGAAAAGGCACTAAAGTTCAATTTCGTATGAACACACGTACACTATTTTTGGTCTTTGTCACTGGAATGAGAATGCAGACTGTGCAAGCAATTACAGTTTTTGTGCATGTAAATTGAGCTTATGGTTTTCTGTTTTGTAAATGTTATGTTGTAGTTCTGCTGTTTCGCAAATTTATCGATATAATCGGTTTCAGTATCATTCCATCATTATAAAACAGCCTACAAATATTTGCAATGACTACCTTAAATTAGGCACACTCAATTTTAGATTTTGTAATCTTCTGTAGTCCCTTCTTTATATGATCTGTGGTCCATAACGTAATTCATCACGTAGACCTAATTGTTGGAATGTTATAATAGCGATATCGTTTGTTTTTCTTTTACATCACTATGGACAGATTTTGTGAAATGATTTTCGTGTCTAGAGATATTTTTTTTTCTGGAGACTGGAACTATTTTTCTTTATTTCACCACACAGACGAAGCCACGACTAGTCATGTAGTTTCATACATATTGATATGAAACGAACGTGAATATTGAAAACCAGTCTAGACTACCAAGAGCATCATCGTTAGGCTATCGACAATAGCCTCTCACCACAGCACTATCCAACAAATTCCGCACGTACCTAGAAGTGTGAGATGCCAAAATACTGTAAAACAAGGTTCGGAACGTGTGCCAAGAATCTTGTTAAACCTCCTCTGGTACATACTTGCATGGTAACAAGTGCTTGGAGGCTGTTCAATTTTAAATCTCGTTACAAGTTTCACTAACAATGTCATTAGATTCGCTTCAAGATTTTCTTGAAACTCGGACACAGTTTTTGAGTTATTAGATTACTCAGTGATGGAATTGTGTGGCGAAGATAGTCAGTTGAAGAGACTGTGGCTTAAATTAAAAAAAGATGAGAGCAAGTGTCGTGGTGGCCCGGAGTTTGAAGACGCCTGCTTCTCATGCACGAGGGTGCAGGTTCGAAACTTACCAACGGCAAGTACCAATGTGACTTTTTCCGAGTTATATGTACTTTCTAAGATTATTTAGACACCACTGACCAACGGTGAAGGAAAACATCGTGAGGAAACCTGGGCTTATAATTTCTTATTATAAGTTTGAAATCGCCAACCCGCATTAAGCAAGCGTGGTGATTAATGCTCTAACCTTCACCATGTGAGAAGAGGCTTTGCTCAGCAGTGGGCATTTATAAGTTGTTGATGATGATGATGATGATGATGATGATGAGAGCAATGTAGACAGTTGAAAAGGTTCTGTTGAGCACTAAAGCGAAAAAAAGCTACGAATTGAAGAAGAAATTATGTCATCTGATTATCTTCTTAACATAACGTTAAAATAACGTTAGAGAATCTATTACAGCCATTTTTAGGAGACCTTACAACAAGAACTTTAACAGGACAAAGTCAAAGTCAAAAGTCAAAGTCAAAGCATTTATGTCAATTAAACCATAATTTGGTACTTTTGAAACGTCAACAAATACAAAATAAATAATAGTCTGTCAGTCAGTCCGTCAGTGAAGCTAGGTGAAGCTAGGTGCATCTTCATCTCAAGTGACATCTTTCTAATACTAATATTTTATTCCAGATCAGTGATGACCATCGTACTGACCCTGATGCTGTTCGCTTCCCTGTACGAGGGCTACCTGGAGCGCAAGTACCGGCTGGCCAAGGAGACCAGAGACTTGGAACTGGCCCACGACGGCAACGCCAACCATAAGCAACCTGTTGGTACTTTCGTTTATAATATTTTTCTTTTAACAGGTCTATGGTGTCTATGGTAGCAGCAGTAAAGGTATATTTCATATAATTGCAAAGGAAGCTATTAGCAACAGTTTTAATCCTTGAGACGAAATACACATTTTTCTAATGGTAACTAGGTAGTGGAAATAATATACAGAGAATAATATGTAATATCATGAACTATTTAAAGTTTTAATGATATACTTGGATACTACTATATACTACTCACGAACCATATAAATCGTAGCCTAAAGTAAAGCTATATCGGAATACGGTAGTTGGCAGGTGGTCAAATTTAATACTTTTATTGAAATGTCAAAAACTATACTTTTCTATGAATTTTGTATTAGACGTCATCTTATTTCTACGTCAAATAGCATACTTATTACCTTAAAATTAGCGAGAAAATATCCAAAAGTAGTTATATTGTGAAATCAATAGATGAGAGTATGATTATTTTTTATTATTTATTGCATTGAAAAGTAGAAACAATTTATTTTAAACAGCTAGGAAACTGGCCAATTATGAATACCGTGGAATTAGAAAAAAAAACAGGACAAACTCTCTTTCACCATTGAGCATGCAACACAGAACAAAAAAACAAATACACAAAGCCGTTTCAATTTAACCTTTCTGGTTGATTGAGCATGGCTTGTAACAGCCGTAGGTCGGGTTCATCCCAGGGGCGAAAGGGCTCCACACAGTCAACGTTTCCGTACAAATTAACAAATTAATTTACAAAATAAAAACGTGTTAGATGTACAAAAATAAACACGACCATGCCCTGCGGTCGACGAAACGTTTGTGACATTGTATGTGAAAAGCGGCCGATTTAAAAAACGTCGTGTAACTCTATCAAACTGATAAAATGAATTATCGGTATGTCTTGAATACAGTTATAGGACGTTTCAGAGTACAAAGCCTTTTAAGTTATATTTATAACTAGCTACTTCCACGCAGTTTCACTCGCTCTGCTCGGCGCCTATTAATCGTAGCGTGATATTTTTAGCCTATAGCCTTCCTCGATAAATGAGCTATCCAACATAGAAAGAATTCTTCAAATCGGACCAGTAGTTTCGGAGATTAGCGCGTTCAAACATACAAACAAAAAAACAAACTCTACACCTTTATAATATTAAAAAGTATAGTGTTGGCGCATTAGTATGGCCATCGACCATAGAGGCGGCGACGCGCGGGACGGGGTATAAAAACCCACGGCAGCGCGAGCGCCGCGCTTCTTCTTCATCGACACACGCCATTCGGGCATTTCTTTGTATCGGTGTGAGCCGGTCTTGATTCTGATATGTAAAAATTAAACCTATTAATTGTGCAGTCTTCTGTTTTAATTTGAAATAACCCGACAGAGCTACGACAATAGATATACATTTTTACCTATCTATATAAATGTTTACCTTCTCTTGTCTAATATTAAATAAATAACGAGTATTTCTATGTGCTACTGTTCCTATGATTAATTTCGAAAAGCTAGTGTCCAGTAAACTGTTAAGTATATTTTGTTATTAAATCTGATCTAGATACTATCAAAACCATTACATCGTCATTAGCTGCAGTTTTATAGAAAAACCGTTGCTTATAGGCCAAGTATATCTATGTTAGACGTGCTTATGTTAGTAGCGTTGAACATAATCGACCTGTGTCACCCGAGGCATCGCACCTACCTAGCTGACCGAACCTTTTGTTGCCAACTTGCCATACAATATTTTATTGTCATATTTAGGTACCATACAACACCGACCATCCTAAATATAAGCTATTTTTTATATATTTACTAGCGGACAGACGTTGTCCTGCATATCCACTTGAATGTATAAACAAAAATTCATTCAAATTAGTTCAGCCGTTTAGGATAACTAACCTAGACACCGACTGCAGCGCCATTTGCCGGGCTGATTTGTAAATCTAAAACATCCAGGGCGCCACTCAAACGCGTACAGAAAAATTCATTTAAATCGGTCAAGCCGTTTAGGAGGAGTTCAATGACATACATACGTACTTACAGCTGAATTATATATATAAAAATTAATGTCAACTGAAGTTTTGGCACGTTATTATGCCAGTAGAATGAAATTTTAAATTAATTATGAATATCTAATTAAATTGTCTTGTACTCGGCTCTGTCGCAATCAGTAAATCAAACAGAGATTAGCTGGAATTATAATTTGAATTATGTTTGAGAATGGTATTTTATAAGGTCTGTCTTGTAATTTAAGTTTTGTTATATTATTTACTATGTTTTTCGACGTCAGTTTCAAACTATGCTAGGCGCTTCTACTAGTCTAGTTTTTGGTCAAACAGTTACGGGAGATTAGGCAAAAAATATAATAATTATTTGGTATGTCTCAAGAAAGTTACATTGCCAAAAACTTGATGATGGTGACTGTCATTAACTTCGTTTCATCATTAGGCATTTGGAAAATTAACAAGTCAGCAGCTGTAGCCAAATGCCATTTAGCGCTTGTCTACATGTAGAATAGAAAACCAAATTATATGGAATTGACGTAAATTTTGACACTTGTCAGTGTCATCCCCATACATTTAGTTTTCTACTCTCTCTGTAGACAAGCGCTAAAGTGGTATTTAGCTAAAGGCCCAGCAGCTGTAGCCAAATGCCATTTAGCGCTTGTCTACTTGTAGAGTAGAAAACCAAATTATATGGAATTGACGTAAATTTTAACATATGTCAGTGTCATCCCCATGCATTTAGTTTTCTACTCTCTCTGTATACCTACAAGCGCTAAAGTGGCGTTTGGCTAAGGACACTGGACTGATAGAAACCGCGCAATGAGGATATATAGACTCCAAAAATGTTAACTTCCTTAACCGACAATATTTAAAAAAAACCCTAAATAAATATTTTATAATATGAAGTAGAAAATATTCCTTATCATCTGTTAATGGGTTCGTTATTATCACAGCGGCATCGCGTCAGAGGATACGGATGTAAGGGAAAAGCAACATGGACTCCCGATTAACGGCACAGATAATACAAGGGCTGCGTTAATTGAATACGCCATTTTGAGTTTGTTTACGTTTCTTGCATTTTAGAAGCAAGTTGTTTTGTTTATCTTGTATAGTTGGGATTTAAGTTAAAGTTAGTTTAATGACTGTTTTATTTTATTAAGTCTTGGTCATAAAATGCTTCGGTAATTAGAACTGTTTGTTCACGTCTCTATTTAGTAGGTATATTTACAAGAATGTTTGGTTGGTTTATTAATTATTGACTCTGTTTAAAAAAAAACTCTGGTTTTTATTATAGTACTAGGTACATGAATTGATGACACTATATATCTTTGCCAAATAATTAAAATAACGCTTTATCTTTGAGCGTAATATTACATTTTCGCAATATACCTAGAAACTAAATAATGCTATCATTAAACTCTTTACGGTCGGCACTTTTGACGACATATATTTTTTAAAGAGGTTGATGTTTTTAAATATGTCATACGACATACGATTTAAGGTTCATAATGATATTGCTGGGTTGGAGCCGTGCCGGAGCCGTGCCGAATCCGTGCTTTTTAGGTTTATTCACCTAAATGGTGTAATCAGTTTGTTTCAATGTAAATCTTTGGCAATATGGTCTTAACCTTTATTTTACAATATTATCTATCTATCTAATATCTCCTATCCGATGTTCCTCTGTGAATGGTTAAAGAGGACGTACCATTGTCTATGTCTATTCTCACGACGTCATGATATTTGCAGGCCAATAACAATGTGGCTGTCGATGGGAAGCCAGTGCCCACGGACAATGGGGATCGAGACCTTCGGCGGGAAACTTGCGGTGAGTATCTAATGAGTTGTAGTGGTACGGGACAATAGCTATGTATGGACCTTTGTAAACAATATGATGCGAACAATATGATTTTGTTTTAGGAAATTTACGTTAAATACAATTAAGGACATGAGTTGTAAAGGTGGAGGAAAGTATTATGATAAGAATATATGTTCCGATGTCCGCGATAGTCATTAAATATTTCAATGTACCTGAAAAGGGGGTAGCAGAGGTACATATATCAGATCTATATCTATATATATAAAAGAAAGTCGTGTTAGTTACACTATTTATAACTCAAGAATGCCTCAATCGATTTAGATGAAAATTGGCAGGGAGGTAGCTTAGAACCAGGAGACGGACATAGGATACTTTTTATACAATACTTTTTTTTACTTTTTACCGAAAATCACGAACGGGAACGGGGGGAAAATGGGATTGCGCGTACGAAGTCGCGGGCAGAAGCTAGTATATAAAAAAGAAAGTCGTGTTAGTTACACTATTTATAACTCAAGAACGACTGAATCGATTTGGATGAAAATTGGCGGGGTGGTAGCTTAGAACCAGGAGACGGACATAGGATACTTTTTATCTATTTTTTTTACTTTTACCGAAAATCACGAACGGGAACGGGGGGGGGGATGGGATTGCGCGTACGGAGTCGCGGGCAGAAGCTAGTGTAAGATAAAATTGACTGCACGGTTGGTGTGGTGGCTGGGCAACTGGCTGCCGCACAATGTTTAGCGGGTTCGATTTCCGCACGGAGCAGCTCTTTGTGTGATCCACAAATTGTTGTTTCGGGTCTGGGTGTCATTGATATGAAATCGTATTTTGTAAGCGCACCCATGGCACGGGAGAAAATCATAGTGTGGGAATAGTTGTTTTTTTTTAAGAAATAGTTACTTTTTATCGGTTTTATGTGTAATATAAGGTTGTAAAGTATTAGCCTCTTTGAAAATTACCACCATTTGCAAAAACCCTATGATTCTTTGCCCGACTTGGGAATTAAATCCGAAACTCCTTGGTTGGTAGTCTTCAACTAATCGACCAATGAGGCACTCAGAATAAATCTCAGATATTAATTAGTAAGACAATGTAAAATACACGTTCAATGGTCACAAACAATGAAAACTCAAACAAAAGACTTGGATGATGTAGAGACCCTAGTTATTAGCTTTCAAGTAAACGAAAATATGAGAAAATATGAGATACTTTTTTTTTTTTTTTTTTAAGGGGGGAAAATCATCGAATGACTGCTCCCGCCTGGGTGAGGCGGAAGGGAGTGTCAGACTCTTACTGACTAAAAACCACCCCGTTCCTTCTCCTGCACGCCGAGCCGGAGCCCCGGTTACCCGTTAGGTTCTCCGCGACTCCGAATCGGCATCGGCCCTATTGGGCCCCATCTGTGGTGGTCTGATGGCTCTTTGAGGCGCGCGCGGAACGCGACGCGCCGTACGCTCGGGTCTGTTTCTGGTCGGACGGGGAGCCACCCATGCTCGCCGTCCGCAGGCCCGCGCTTACGGTGGCCGGAGATCGTCCCGCGATCCCCGACGCCCGGTGTGTCCTTCGCGATGGCTGGGTTGCGAGGAGGCAGCGCTTCGCTGCCTCACGCGTCCCGCCTCCTCCTTAGCTAGCATGACTGCTTCGCAAAAGGAGGAGACGGCATCCCAGTCCCCCTCGCTCCGCATCATGGCCTGCACTAGGCCCGGACGCGAGAGGTCGCCATCGCCGATCACTTCCCTGAGGGCACGGCGGTGCTCAGCCCACGCAGGGCATTCTCCCACTGTGTGTTCCACCGTGTCCTCAGGGCGGTCCTCGCAGTGATGACACCCGGGCGTTTCCTCCCGCCCCATCAGACACAGGTACCTCCCGAAACTTCCATGTCCGGTGAGGACCTGCGTCAGGTGAGGACGTCGTAGCGTCTCTCAAGCCACTCCTCAAAGAGGGGACTTACCGCTGCAATGGCAGCGAGCCCAGCCCCCGGTTGCGACAGTCGTTGCTGCCATTTCGCCATGAGATCGCGCCGGAGCTCATCCCGCCACGCACTTATCTGGCGCGGCAGCGGAGTTTCGCCCCGGCGACGTGCCTCCGCGCGCATGTTATACACGCGCGCGAGCACCTTCGCCTCCAGATCCCACGGCGGTAATCCGGCAAGGAGGTTCGCCGACTCCCCAGAGATCGTGCGGTATCCGCGGATCATTCGGATCGCCATGATCCTCTGTGACATGAGCAGCGTCCGAGCAGGACGCCGCAACAAGTTCGGCGCCCAAACAGGGGCGCCGTAGAGGGCCATGGACCGCACGACCCCGGCGTATAACCTCCGGCAGGAGGCGTTTGGCCCCCCGAGGTTGGGGACGATGCGCTTAAACGCAGCCCCCGCCCTCGCCAACTTTGGAGCCAAACGTCGGAAGTGCTCCACGAAGTTCCACCGACTGTCGAAGACGAGTCCCAGGTACTTCATCGTCGTCTCGACGCCGATGGTAACCCCTCCCGCCATTATTTGGGACCCACCCGGAGGTGGCGCGTTCCCGCGGCCATGAAAACACATGGCCTCGGACTTGAAATATGAGATACTAGCTTTTACCCGCGGCTTCGCTCGCGTCACAAAAGGATAAAAAGTAGCCAATGTGACATATACCAATACACACAGCGCCATCTATACCAATAATTTCGTTTTCCCTCGGGAATATCAAATTTTTCCGGGATAACAAGTACTTATTTAATCCAGACTTCTAACTTTACATCTGCAAAAATTCAAAGCAATCGGTTCAGTAGTTACGGCGTAAAAGCGGAACAAACAAACAAACAAACAAACTCACTATCCTATTTATAATATTAGTAAGGATACTGAGGGCGCGGGTTCAAAACCTACCAACGGCAAGTACCAATGTGACTTTTTCCGAGTTATATGTACTTTCTAAGATTATTTAGACACCACTGACAAACGGTGAAGGAAAACATCGTGAGGAAACCTGGGCTTATAATTTCTAATTATAAGTTTGTAATTGCCAACCCGCATTGAGCAAGCGTGGTGATTAATGCTTCAAACCTTCTCCGTGTGAGAAGAGGCTTTGCTCAGCAGTGGGCAATTATAGGCTGTTGATGAAAATAAAACGAAAATATATCAAAAAAACCTAGCTACCTAATTAAAAAAGATGAGATTCTAGAATTGATAATGGGTCACGCATATTATTATTTATTGCATTCTTGAGAGATATATAAAGCAGTCTCAGTCCCTAATCGACACATGTAGAATAATTGCCACATTTGTTTTAGCTACCTATTTTAGAATATAACAATATTTTTTTAAACTATTACCGATTTTCTTCTGTGTCGTGGGTGCGTTTACAAACATACAAGTTCACATACACATCACACCCAGACCCGAAACAACAATTTGTGGATAACACAAAGTGTTGTTCCGTGCGGTAATCGAACCCGCGACACGTTGCATGGCAGCCGGTTGCCCAGCCACCGAACCAACCGTGCAGTCAAATTAAAATAAATTAGAAAAAGTTATGTAAAGAAATTACACACCTATTTGAAATGAACTTTAAAAAGCGAACTTTCCACTTTGCCCGAACAAAGTATAGACCCATAGACCTATGGAAAAAATCAAGAAACTCTTCATTCCGTTGAGAAAACAACCTTTATAAGCCTACAATTAAAAAGTTTGGCTTCAAAGTCTTGAGGTCAGAGTACAATCGGTAAGAGGTGAAAGAAGTACCCATATCAAGCTATAACAACCAGTATAAACTGACTTCTGAGCGTGCGGAAAGACCATATAAAGCTAGACCATGATTAACTGGATGTGTAGGTTGACGTGCAACTATGCGTACCTTTACGAACAGTTTACGGACTAAAATGGCCGTCTTTGTGTACAAGTCTATATGCATAATTAATATAGGTTATTTACATAGTAAGGTACAGTAGGTACTATTGGAGATTTTAATTTTTTTGTCATATCCCTGTGTGCTGTAGCAGTGTTTAGAAAAAACCTTATGAAGCCATAATTAGGGTTCAATTCAAAATATGTCGCAATTCTACGAATTTTCACTAACGACACAAGAACTGAAGTTTGTGTTGAACAATCCAAATTGCTACACCACTGTATAATCTTCTTAAATCACATTAATGTATTGTATATTAATAACTACAGTAAGTAGAAACATGAAGGAATACATTCCCCTGGACATACAAAGTGAACGTAGCAATATAATCGCTTACTCGGTAAATTAAACATAGTCTTCATTTCCACGGATTGGGAATAAGGCAACATTGAGTTTGTAGTAAGTAGTAAATGGTAATGTAGATTAAAAATTTATAACGTTTATTTACAAATAATATAAACTTAAATAAAATAAATAGGTACTGACTATTACTTAAGAGACATTAAAACGAATGAAAAAATAAATAAAAAATAACTATTTGTAAAGGGCATCAAAAAATTCGTACGCATCGAGAGGTTAAGCATTGCCTTACAACGTGGCAGTGCTGCCAGCCTTCTGGGTACTTTCCCTATTGACGTAGATGGAAAATATAATATAGAGAACATAACACCATGTCTGCTATGGAAATAACGCTCATTTTTATAAAATACTAGCTATTACGTAGCGTACTTCGTCCGCGTAGAATAAAGTTCGTGTTTTATCCCATGAGAGCATTTAATCCTGTCTGTATACCAAATTTTATCAAATTCCATTCAGTAGTTTCAGCGTGATTGACGGGCATCTATCCAAAAATTTATTTATTAATCTATACAGAAATTTTCATATTTAAACTGTCAAACACCAAGCGGTCACCGGTGACCGCAACCTATTGTTCTTTAATTGTGTCTATAAATACGGTACTCGACGAGTTAAACCATTAGTGTGAAGGTGATTTATAAATTAAGATAGAAGGAGTTAAACTGTACAGGAAAGAAAATGAATTAAAAAGAATGTTCGCTTAACAGAAAAGTCCATAGTGCCAACAGCCTGTTAAGTAACTTAAGTACAAACTCAGTAATGTTCATGTTGAAGCCTAAGTAAGTCGTACAAGTGAGGCGGACATTAAGTTGACTGTGACGACATTTCTCTTGAGACAACCATTCACTTAATGAGAATTAGACAAAATTTTAGCTAATGCGACTTAATATGCCAGTCTTATTATCCCGCTGTTCTAGTTACAACCATCGCTGTAAAAACTTCAAAGTAATCCCCGTTTTATGATTATCTTCAATCCACAAAATCATTTTCTCTTTATATCACAGAAGCGTGTCGTAAGATATAACAGTGAATTTCTCAAACAATGTGATTCAATAGAGTCCCGATCTATTGTTTGAATGGGAGCTCTTTAAAATAGACAGCAAAGCAAAGACTCAATAAATCGCAAACAGGAATCAAAGCAATTCCTGTGTTGTTGCGAACTTTGAAGTAGGAATCCTTTAGTAAAACTTATCTTTATTTCATTTGAAGTTGTTTTCTGTATTCAGGGCTATGGGCGGAGGTGTTGTTATCGTTTTCCATCTTGTCGAACGGGCGCACGATCCTCAGCACGGACCCTCCGAACGACGGGGCCCTCACATGTCTTCACGGAATGAGGTACGTTTATTTTGTTACCGAACTTTTTTCTTATTTAAGTACAGACGACTGCACGTCGACCTACTCATTTTTCAAATTTCCTTTTTAGATTATTCACTTTATTGTTTTGATATAAAGTCGAAAATGCAATGAAACATTTTGATAGATTGTGGTAGGTTGGCGCGAAGGCCACTGTACATATGAATGTAAATGTTTCAATACAGTCTCGATGATTTTGTTTTACGTCGTCATGTCAGCTATCTCAATCGGTATTGTATCGAAGTCTACAAAGTGCTCGTTGATCTAAAGTATTTGCACTAAACCCTGATTGAAGCTTTTTCTGATGTTCTGTTGTTTAGTTTTACGTGCCTATGATTGGATTCTGGATCACAATCGCTTCTAAAAGGGATGTTCAATATGCTCCTAGTAAATTTGAACTGTAGTTAATCTGTAGAAGGATCGTTTTTATACAAAGTAATCAATAGTCTTAATAACCAGTTATGGGCGGTTAACGAAACTTAATTTAACTTTCGGAATTAGTTTTATTTTAACGGTTAGTAGAGTTTTAGGGCTTCTATTACCTATAGCCCAAATACGGGTGATAAACCTTTAGCTCTGTTACTAAGGGTAGACCGTAAACTATAATGAGTATAAATACAAAAGAGTTTCGTATCGAAATGAAAATTTGATTACTTCTTTTGATCTTCGTTTTCCTTTTTATTGTTGTTCCATTAATTACAGAGAGTGCCAGCAGCTGTTTTATAAGTGGAGTGAAAAAAATTTATAGATACAAGATTAATTGAAGTCTGGTTTTTAGCGATGGATATAGATTAATGGCTTCCATTATCCCTTTTGTCTGGGACGAGGAGTAAGGGGCAGAGGTTTTTTGTTAATCGAATTTTCCGTTGGGTAACAAGACCTAGGTACTATGTAGGACGTAGGTCCACTTGTAAGACCTTAAGGCAAATATGGACAGAATTCATTACGGGTTGAAATAGATAGTTCATTTTAGTATAGTAATCGTTTTTAAGAGTGCGGTGGGCAGTGTTTTATTTAAAGATGGACGTATTATAGTTAATAGGGTAGTTGCTAGGGTATGCAAATTAAAAACCTTTATAGTCCGTCAGTTAGTTAATGAAAAAATATAAGACAGGTATTTTTTTATAAAGTTACAATACTTATGCAGTTAGGTTTAATAACATTTATAATTAATATATCGTCGAAAGTATTTAATTTTGTGAAAACAGAAAAAATATGTGTCTAATGTTTTAAATTAATGTACCAGACGGACATTAAAATAACATTTAGAGAACTACCCAAATATAATTATGGATGTGTTCGTGTTATTTTTATTTACGACCATGGCTAAAAATATATCACTACATAGTATAAAACAAAGTGGCTATCCGCCGTCTATCTATTCCTATGTATGCTTAGATCTTTAAAACTACGCAACAGATTTTGATGCGGTTTTTTTTAAATAGATAGAGTGATTCTTAAGGAAGGTTTATATGTCTAATATATGCATATTGCACCCATGCGCAGCCGGGACGGGTCGCTAGTGTATAATAAATAAATAATTTGTTAGTACTTAACAAACGTTGATTTGGCAGATTCATGTCAGTGATTTGGGTGATAATGGTGCACACATACCTGACGATATTCTACGTGGCTGACAATAAGACTATGCGGGTGATCACAGAACGCAACTTCTGGTACCAGTCCGTTGGGAACGCATCCTACTGTGTGGACACCTTCTTTGTTATCAGGTAAAGTATCCAGTATATATAGTCTTTTTTTTTAAGGGGGGAAAATCATCGAATGACTGCTCCCGCCTGGGTGAGGCAGAAGGGAGTGTCAGACTCTTACTGACTAAAAACCACCCCGTTCCTTCTCCTGCACGTCGAGCCGGAGCCCCGGTTACCCGTTAGGTTCTCCGCGACAATATATATATAGTCTACCGACCTACAATAACAATTTGTTAATGTAATAGATTTTCGACTTCAGTGAGTTGGTAATAAAGTTCAAATTGTATTAACGAATTTGGATTATTAGGTAAAGGTAGGTGTACACAGGCGTATATGTCGGTGTGTGTACTTTGCTTTGCCTCGGGAAAGTTTTTCCGTTGGTGAGTGGAAGAGCGTAAAATATTAAAACAGATTTTCTGATAAAGGTTTGTTAGTAAGTAGTAGTAGTTTGATAATACACAGTATGTTACACTTTCTAATCACGTTTTCGTGTTATTTCTTTGCATTTACATAATATGTTTGTTTGTAAGATATCTATTTAACATGATATTCTGTTTCACTATTGTAATTAGATTGTTTTAAACTGTATTATATTGAATTGACTTAAAAATCACGGTAAGTATTAGTAACTCACATGAAAATACCGAGAAAAGCTTTTCTAGGTAGCTGTGCGATATCGCCGCGTCCTCATAAGGAAGAGCCCCTCTATGGCTCGAAACTAGTAGAGCTTAGATTAAAAATGTCATTACTATTTGGCTTTACTTACGCCACACACGTAAACATCATTAGAAATTAGAATTTAATAAAAGATGTTCAAACGAGTTCAAGATTACATAAATTGCACTTAACATTTACATAACAATATAAACTGGGTTCATTTAATATTATATCTTACTAAACATTGGCCTTGAATAGAAATAGAAAGTGAACAATTTTAAATATTCATAGGTCGACGTAATTTCCATATAACCGTATCCATTTATTTATATAAAACTAAGTTGTATTAGTTACATTGTTTGTAAGTCAAGAACATGTATTTTTGAGGTTCATGATCTTGGTTTTAATTGCGCTACGAATAAAAAGAAATAGATTCATTAGTATGAATAATACTGGCACCGCAGGGTGGGTAGCAACCGTGGTGTATTCGGGACCTACCTGACGGACCGGTCCGTCATTACCCCGGTCGCCGAGATGACCGCCTCAAAGAGCCATCATAGCACCACAGATGGGGCCCAATAGGGCTGATGCCAATACGGAGCCGCGGAGGACTTAACGGGTTGCTGGGGCTCCGATTCGAAGTGCAGGAGTAGGAACGGGGTGATTTTTAGTCAGTAAGAGTCTAAAGTCCGTCTCGTCTTGCAGTCATTGGATGATTTAGCCCCTCAAGAAAAAAAAGGTAGTAAGAGTAAGTTTTTAATTTGCGGTGACCTAACTGCAATCCCCAAGTCGCTAGCCAGGCTTGCTGATTAAGATAAACAGGACTTTTTTTTTAAGGGGGGAAAATCATCGAATGACTGCTCCCACCTGGGTGAGGCGGAAGGGAGTGTCAGACTCTTACTGACTAAAAACCACCCCGTTCCTTCTCCTGCACGTCGAGCCGGAGCCCCGGTTACCCGTTAGGTTCTCCGCGACAAGATAAACAGGACTAGGTGGTGGATAAGAAAGGGCCATGTACGCTAAACCACACAATATGCGCTATCCAACGCATCGCTTTTCTGTAAATGAGGCCTTAGCGACAATTTTCAAATTATTACAACCCTACGCAAGCCTATGTTTTAACATAGCAGGCAGTAAATTTAATTGTTAATGAAATTACTACTCCTGTTCATCCTTTTGGGATAAAAAGCGTCTATTATTACATAGTAATTGAACCCCGCGTTTCCTAGAAAACTTTTTCGATTTTCTGAACATAAAAGTACTAGCCTACCTCATTTTATACCTTTTTAGATTTCAAAATAACGGTCTACCTGTTCCATTAAACGGGTTCAAACGTTTAGCTGCGAACTTGTAAAATAAAATCTTTTACCTTGTATTTCGGACTAGATTATAAATTCTGCCAGATTAGCAAAATTTCTAAAAATAGGCTAGCAAAGGTTTTATACTTTCGTGGACTATTTTTAGTTTTTGAAATATTAAACGGATATTTGTAGGCATTCTTGAATGTTTTCTATATAGATATGGACCAATTGATCTCGTTCTGGGTACCTTAGTACCTGGGTACTTAACTATAGTCGTTTTTGGAATATAAAAATCTCAGTTTTTCACATGGCAATTAGTCCCATAACGGCTAAAACGAATTAAATATAGACTAATATATCCCTTATTTACTCCAATATTTTAAACCAAATTCCCATTATGGTCGCTATTCTATTTTTGTATTTGCAAAAAAAGTTTAAATTGTTTTAGCCGTGTCCAATACAAATTGACAGGTAACAACCAACTCAATTACAATTTTTGTGTACGCGTAAAGTAACAAAGCGTATAGAATAACAGTGTATCGTTACTAAATTCTATTATTGTGTTTACTGTTCACAAAGCTTGTCAAAACATAAACTTATATATAGTTATATAGCTATAATGAAATTGTTATAATAACAAGGTTCAATTTATTTGGGCAGTTCGAGTTCGTTTGTTTTTCCTTGTATGTGACAACCCTAGTAAGGTCGCGTATACAAAGGTGAATTCTTACGTCGCGTGAAAGTGATGAAAATCTAATTAAAACGGAACCCTATAGCAATGCAATTAAGGTACAAATTGTTCGAAATTTATGATTACATGTAAATATGTTCCTAAATGAATGCTATCATATGATGAGTTGCTATACTTAACTGTCGGTGTTAGGATTTCAAGGTAAAGATGTCATTGACCTCTAACATTTCCTGAAAAAATCTCTCTCGATAGCCGATGGAACGACCTAAAAGGGTCCTACATTACTTTAACAGTGATCAATTTCCTTTAAACGATCCCTCTCAATAACCTTTGTTAGCATCAACTGGCTCGTGCGATCCTTCACTAAAATAGACCCGAACATAAGTCTCAAGTAACCAATTCTCATTTGTTACAGCGGAATACTCGTCACAATCTTATTTTTACGGACGGAAGATAAAAAGTCTGCGAAAGCTGACCAGCAAGATAAACAGGACATCAACAAGAATCTCAACGGCTTCAGTAATTCCGCACTTTCCATCTCTGTGATAAGCCAACAATCTTTTAAGGAGGATTTATTAGACAAGCCTAAAACCAGCGCTTATTCTATGGCAGAGTTCGTGACCATGATCAAGTCCTTCTTTATTTTATTATCCTATAGAATAGTGAGGCTCACGCCTGCCTACGGCTTTGTGATTGGTCTCAATGAGATCGCTCTTAGGTATACACACGACAGATCAGTGTTCGAGCCCGCCATATTTGACCACATCACGTGTGATAAGTTCTGGTGGCGCAACTTATTGTACATCAACAACCTCTACCCACAACGTGAGATGTGCATGGTCTGGTCCTGGTACATGGCCAACGACACGCAATTCTACGTCGTCGGGATTATACTTCTACTTATTTCGGTCAAGTAAGTATGAATTTAAAAATAAAAGCTAATAAAAAGACGGACAGCTAAGGCGAAAAAACTACAGACATAATGTAGCGTACATTGCGCTGGTTTCAGCAACAAATGGGACTATTTCCTAGTGTAAAGTGACAAAATCTGCTCGCCTTTTCCCTTGAACACTTTTTCGTAAAGTGGAAAAGTTTGTTTACTGAATTCTTACAAGTTGTCTGGGCAACTATTAAGCCGATTTATGTTATGAATTCGTAGTGAAATTCTTGAAACGGTATTCAGCCAACAGTAGCCTAATGTAATACGCTTTATTCAGCGAGCTACCTACTTTTCTTGGCTAACTTTGCGTATCGTACTCTCATATCTATGTTTTATTTGTTGGTCGTATTTCTTCGGGGTATATTATGACATTCTTGTATTTACAGGCATCCGAAGTTTGCGATGGTATCTCTCGGGTTGTTGATGGTGAGTTCATGGGCGACCACCATCTACATATCTGTGTGGCATCAATACAAGGCACGGATACAGGAGCCGTTTGAAATGTTCGACCCATTGTATGATAAGCCCTGGTCGAGGATTGGACCCTATTTAGTTGGTAAGTGGTATAATTATTCTAATAATAACTACGGAACAAGTAGCGAAAGAAATTAGTTTTCTCGTCGATCTTTGTGAAACTTGTACCGAATTATGAATAGACTGTGATGGATGGATGTTGTAGGAAGAAGTAATTACCGATTGACTGAGAATACGAAACCTCAACAAAGTTACGCGTGTTCCGTATTCTCTCGCGTCATACTCAGGTTTTTGTAGCTGTATAGGGGAAGCTCTCAGCTTCTTAAATTGAATCATCCTCTGAAGCAATTTCAAATTTGATAAATTATGAAGAGCGGCCGATGTCGGATGACTGGCTGCTATTCCTTATTTCTAATTTATTCGCGATTTGCCACGTCATCGTTTTCATTACTAAAGACTTTAAGATTGGTGTCTTTACCAGCGTGAAATTCAAATAAAACGTAACAAGTTTGCCCTTGATGATTTGAAATGCAATTTTATATTGGGTATAGTCAAAACTAGACTTTATTTTAAAAGAAACGCTGTGTAGAACTGTGTAGAACAAATATTTGTTTGATGAGCTCTTATTCCGGGTTGGACTGTGATGTATGTATTCTAAAACCACACATAGAATAAGCATTCTGTCTAGCGATTAAAGTACACAAATATGCCACAAAAGAATTTATTTAAAATATAATACACGTTATCTAGGACTAAGTTATATCATAAGCTATCTTCATTAACCTCCTTCTTTCTTTTCGGTTAAAAATTATGAATTATTATATTATTACGCCATTAGGTAGATGTCTCTCGCAAAAATTTGCAAAAACATATTGCGTAAAATTCGTAACTGTCAATAAATATGGATATTAGTATGGAATTATTCGTAGACATATTTAAATAAGAATTAATATTATATTATCATACATACTTTCACTTCCTCGTAATAACCCTGTTTCGTATATTATTCTGAAAGCTATTGTTGTACTCAATTTTATGTGAAGCTAGCCTGCAGCTTCTATTCACAAAACAATGCCAGCAAAATTGAAAAGCGAATATTAAAATAGGTCGAAATGGCCGCTCTAGTGTGCGATAAAATAAAAGCACTGTTAAAAATTATTTGGGTCGATACACCGGCCGCGGCACCGCGCTCCGAGCTCAGATCGCGAGGAATGCTCGACGCGCCACTGATTGTGTATCCCTTCCGAACTGAGATCCTCTCGTAATCCCCGAAAATGGGCCTTTTACTGAGATTCTATCGATCGTACTAGAAAGCTATATGCTCACTATAGTCCGGTTTCATTTCTTTGGTCAGTGAACGAATAATAAAGATGTTCGACAAAGCGTAAACGTTGGCCTGAACAATCCGATAAGTTGGCACACTCAGCCCCTCTCACACTATATGAGTGCCCACGAACATTGATTATTATCAATAGAACCCCTTTTCTTGAACAATTTGCATGAGAACAAACTTCCTTTCCTTTTCGCTATTCTCTATTTCATGAAATTGTGTGTGTATTTGGTCAAAACGGGCATCCAATTATATGTATATTGTGTTCAGTTCAACAATTTCCTACTGATATTTCGTTCAGAATAAGCGAATAGTTGAATATTTTATTAGAACACGTTTCTCGGGTTTGATATAAACTACTTCGAATAGTTGTTTGTGGTACCTACATTGAAATTAGAACGGTGTAAAAATAACAAGAGCAGCACAAGTTGAGTCGAGGCAAGGCGGAGACGCTCACCGGGAGCCGAGGTCGTTGAAAAATTTATTAGAGTTTTATTATAGGGAGGAATTACTCCTCCCAGTCGCCCTCCAACCATCTCATCACTGGAATTTATTCCGCTCATATAATATACAACATGCGTGAAGGTCTGTTCAAACCAATTTTGCACAGCTTCCGTCTGTAATCTCGATGGCTTGCCAATTTACAAATATTTACATAATTACATTATTCTGTGTCAGCTTTAGAATGTGCTATTTGGTATTCTAATGTAAACAATACACGTTTTATTGTTCAAAACAAATAACTCAAGTTTCAATCATTGTAATTGATTCTAGTTGTAGTTGCTGAACCGTATCTATTAGGCTTACTAAGTTAAATAGAGGGGACTTTTCATTATTTCGTTATCCTACTTAAGTAATTTTCTATCATGTTTTGTCTTATACTTAGTGTGGAATTTTATCCGTTGCCCAGTAGTCTAGACCACTACAATTCTTTACATCCTAGACTTCTAAAGAAACATTCTTTATTCCAGGAATGATAGTGGGATGGTACTTGCACAAGACTAAGTGTCAATTGAAGCTGCCGTACTGGGTGGTGGCGGTCGGCTGGCCGGTGGCGCTGGCCATCATCGGCAGCCTCATCTTCAGCATGGTGGACGGCTACTTCGAAGTCTGGCCTACGGCTTTCTATATTAGTATTGGACATACTGGTAAGTACTGAACGATTTATTGTACAAAATATATATATTATGAAAGTTATTGTCTTGTTCCATCCATTAATTCTTGCTCGGTCAGGCGTAACACAGCCCCGAACAAGTTACAGTTCTATTAAATTGTATTGAAGATTTTAATCTCGCACAATCTAAAGGTAAAGAATCTCCTAGAGCTGCCCAATAATGACCTACTTGCATAATTTTGTAACACTCAACTCAATATTCCCAAATTACACAATTTCCGCTTCGCTAGAAGGTTTCCCTTGGATTTAGCCATTCGTGTGCAAAGTATCTGAATCCGATTAGTTGGACTGAGTGTCGACGTTATCGTCCTACTAAGAACTGCTGCCAGAGTATCTCCTCTCCTATCTAAATTATCAGACTTTTAAGGGCAAAAATTAAGACTTCGTATTATTTAAAGCTACAGATACTTTCATCTCTTTGCTAACATAGTCAAAGACGTATACATACATACAGAAATAAAATACACAAACATAATATGATGAATTTTTCTTATGTCTAAAGTAAATACATCAAAGAATCTTTTTTCTCAAAGAAAAATAATAAAGAAAATGAATTTTATTTTTAATTGAAATGATGCGTAAGGTCTACGCGATCGTAGCAAAGTGCTACGCTGTAGTATCTGCGTAGCTACATATAAAATAGGCTACAGGCGCGCACTACAGGACAAAATAAAAACCCACTCTTCTGAACTGCATTGAATAATAAATTAATTTCGTAAATGAAGTGAAAATTGGTTTATAAAATTCGCTAATTGCTTTGCTCTTTTAATGTCGTCACAGAACATTTACATTTTATCATGAAACGCTTGGAAACATATTAACATAATCTTTTAATGATTGCTCCGGTATTTCAATTAAACTTGATGTTTGCCAAAGTTTACTGCCGGTGGCTCCCGTAAAGGAGTTTCGCCCGCGCATAAAAGAATACGTTGCTAGGTCGTCGCTTTCATAAAGTAATCTCTTTTAAATGGTGACGTTTCACAATGTTGATATTGTTGTATTAAACATTTTATTTTAACTGTCAAGAAACGTGTTAGAAGTCTAATCTCTCTCTGTAACATACTATTAAAGACTAGAAATCTACCTGGTTCTAGATTTTGTGGTACTGGGTTCACCGACAAAAAACCGAATAATATTATGTTTTGATCGGAATCTGAAACCGGTAACCTATTTATATGAAGGTTTACGATTACTACACATTGGGATACAATTGAACTATCATACTGTAGTGTCAAGCACGAATTACTATCGCATTCGTAACGTTATAGTATCAAGCGTATTCGCCGCTCTGATTGGTTGATTCATTGGTGCCGGCCAATCAAAGCGCCGAACGCGCTCGATACTATAACGTTACGAATGCGATAGTAATTCGTGCTTGGCACTCTGTTTGCTTTTTGTTACGGCTTCATGCATAAATACAGAATTTTAAAGTCTACCAAAAAGAAAAAACTGCTGTGATCCTTATTTATATTCATTTCCAGCTTGGGGAGTAGCAGTAGCATGGGTGGCGATATCCTGCTGCAGTGGATATGGAGGGCTGGTGAACTCAGCCCTCTCATACCGAGGGCTGCTCCCTCTCAGCAGGCTGACGTACTGCGCCTACCTGGTGCACCCTACCATCATGATGTACACCTCATTCCTGCTCGACGGACCTTATCATATGCAGAATTCTACTGTGGTGAGTACTAAGTACCTTTATTAATGAACACATTAATTATTTGGTAGAACATTATTAAATGAATTATGTTTCGTCGTGTGAGTTAGGTTATCACGTGTGTTATAGGTTATTCCAATCCCTGAATCCCCTACAATCCTCAAATTCCTAATCCCTAATATGTATGTAATGTACTAGCAATACCTCTGGTGTTTCGAGTGTCCATGGGCGGCGCGGATTGCTTGCCATCAGGTGCACCGTCTGCTCGTTTACCGGCTTATTCTATAAAAAAACTGCAACTCTTTGTGTGACCCACAAATTGTTGTCTATCTTGGTGTCATATATGTGAAATAGTATATTTGTTAATACGTGGTGTGTATGCCAGGAGAAAATGCTAGTGTGGGGCTAAGTTAAAAAAAAAAGATTGACATAATAATGCTTCGTCTGACCAAGGAATCTAAGCAACCTTAATAATAATAAGCTTCTTCATTTCGTTTTTTATTCCTACCGCATTTTTTATCCTTAGTATTTTCCTGTCCTGAAATAGAAATGTAGAGGTAGCCTTCGTAACGAGAATTAAGACATAAAATAAAATAAATTTATGAATTATGCGCATTCGACGAAAGACATTTAAAGACTCATTTTCCTACACCTTCGGTTACATTGTTCAAATTTTATCAAGGATCCCTAATTTTTTTCAAAATGAAATGTAGCCTATTACATGGGACTCATAACATAAATAGTAAAAATTGGGTGTTACATTGTACAGTGGTATAATGTGCACCTCTGCCTACCCCTTCGGGGATAAAAGGCGTGATGTTATATTATGTAGCCTATGTCAAATTGGAAGAATGTAGCATTCTATTGGTGAAAGATTTTTTTTAAATGGGCCCAGTACTTTTTGAGCCTATTCATTACAAACATATAATCATACAAAAATAGGTACAAATCTTTCCTCTTCATAATATTAGTATAGATATAGATAAAACATTATTATGTACAAAAATGTTCACACATCCACACCTCACCTGCAGACTGATAATAGTATAAATCTGTCTAAATTATTCATACTCAGTCTATCCTTATAGCAGTAGATAAAAACGTACTAAAATTTGATACCTGCGTACCAAGGGTAGAGGGTGACTCATTAACCGCACCCCAAATTCACCCTTTTTAGCAAATATAGGCGTTAATTTATTACCGTTGACATAACTAAATAATGTTCGTGTTATTTATCGTCCTACTTCATTACAAAAACTCAATATGTTTATTCCATTTGGCTAAAGTCGCTGGCGTTCAATGTTCTAACTTTGTAGGTTGTGTTCAAAATACAATTGGCTGGAAATCGTCTCTAGTTTCCATTTTGTATTGAATTTTATTGACAAATAACTGAGTGGAAGTCGAGTCGTTTTTTCAGTACGTTATAGTGTTTAAGCACATAGATTTTTTCTGGTTTCGTAGCAGAATATTAAACAGAAAATTCTTGTCATTGGTATTTATGTTTTTCAACAGGAGATTTCTTAAGACACTTGGGCTCAACAGGATTTTAAAAATGTACCTACATATTTTTTTTACATATAGGTACTGATCTTGTACTGATTGAATGACTTCGCAAAGCCGTGAAGGCTGTAAAGTTCAGTAAAATACTGTCGTACAACTTCTAACTGTGTATAAAGATTAGCTTAGAAGTTTGTGTTTCAACCAAGACGTAGATTCATCGTCATTTTAGATCTAGATTCCAAACAAACACAAATAAGTACTAAAACACGACGTAATTTTACTATCTACTAGATTTGAAAACTAGTGCAACTCCGATTCATTTATTTAATGTCTTCAAACAAACAAACAGAGACGACGGTTTAGATAAACACAGGGTTCGTAAAGGAATTTGGGGTTCTAAGATTAAATTGCAAGTGAGTCTTATTGCCGACATAAATCTCTCGTTTGGGTGACGATTACTACTACAATGTAAAAAGGAAAACTATAAGAGGGAAAACATTTCATTAAGGTCGCCTTTCAACATAAAATGTGCCATAAAGAATGCTGCAATACACTTCCGAAGTCACTTGGCAGGCACAGATTTATGTCACGCTTTCAACATCCATTCAAAACGCTGGCACTTCAAAAGGCCCTTGAATTGAGTAAAAAACTTGGGATCCCTTGTATGTAACTGAACATTTTTTCACGACTGGGGTCTGACAGGTGGGTCTAACTGTCTAGGTCTAAGCATTTCTATTATATAGGTAATATTTTGAAGCTGAAGAGGATGTTTGTTTGTGAGGTTGGTAGGATGAGTTAACGACAGAAACTAACTGAATAAAAAAAATACTTGAGGCTATAAAACATCACACTTTGACCAATATAAGACGTATAGTTTTACGTGTGGGAAAGCTATGCTTCGCCATGGACAATTACCTCTCCCTTTTCCCAATCTCCCCAAACCTTGAAACCCCAACCATCCTTCCTCAAATTCCTACTTCCCGAAAGGCCGGTAACGCACTTGTAACACCTCTGGTGTTCTAGGTGTCCATGGGCTGTGCCAATTGCTTCAGGTGATCCATCTGCTCGTTTACCGGCCTATCCCATAAAAAAAGAATATAGTGAGTGCAACCGCGTAGCAATATCTGGTTTTCTTCTTTTATCTATAAAGGTTTATTTTCGAAAATGACTAAATACAATTCCCTGACACTCATTAGAGTGCAACTGGAGCAGATATTTACCGAGTTGTTAACAAGTTGTTGGGCACCCGATACTACCTAATTGAAACCAGTAGACGTTTCTATCGGGAACCTTAGACGCTAGACTAAGTTTTAAGAGTCAGTTTATTTTTGTTAAGTTATTGTAGTGTACAATAAAATGATATAGAACATTTTGAGTAGTTGTAGTGATTGTTGTTATAGTAAGTAACTTTCGTTAGTAATGTTAGAAGTTCTGTTTTAATATGCGGTTACTATTGCCGTACCGAACTGAAATCTAGATTCAAAGCTAGAATATGAATAGAATAGGTATGTACATTGGGAATTGTTCTAATGTATGTTAATAATCTTAGTCCCATCTAAAAATATGTCTAGACCTCATGGTGACCTACCTTTTCGGCGAAAAACAGACGGTGTATCGTATTTATTAATATAAACAGCTGCATAAATATCCATAAATAGAATATGAAGGTTTCCGTGACAAAAGAAATTTATGCGCAGACTTGTTTACCATTAAATACTGCTTTACGACAAAGTAGGCGTTTGATCCGTCTTTAATATTTAATCGATTGGATATTTATACACAACGGGAGATATTATATTATCTGTGTAACTGTGTAGGGTATATTTGAACGTTCCATATTTGAACGTGTTTGTAGGGGAAAATTTTCCGTTACACAAAGCTGGAGAGAATTTTTATTTGTCTGAATTTGTAAGTCAGTAAAAAAAAGTTTTTTGTTTCTATACAGCTATTCTTTAAGAAAATTGTAGAGTATCGTGGTACAGAACAGCCACCAATGTATTACTTATGGACAGTAGTCGAGCGAAGTCGCGCGTGAAAAGCTAGTAAGCGTCGTGTAAACTCGTGTAGGATGTTAGTATACCAACACATAAACCTTTTGATTCATTCTATCTGTTAAAAAAATCATAGTTTTAAAGACCTAATCAGACAGATACACCAATGGTGGTACAACTTTGTGTCATACCATATAATAATAATGATCCAAGGCGATCTCCAGCCATCATAAATACTTACCTGCGGACGGCGAGCACGGGTAGCTCCCCGCCCGACCAGACCAGACAGTAGGGCGCGTCGCGTTCCGCGCACGCTTTAAAGAGCATACAGACCACCACAGATGGGTCCCAGCAGGCTTGATGCCCTATGCGGAACCGCAGAGGACTTGACCGTTACCCGGGGTTCCGACTCGAAGAGCAGGAATAGGAACTGGGTGGTTTTTAGTCAGTAAGAGTCTGACACTCTCTCCCGCCTCACACGAGCGGGAGAAGTAATTAGATAATTTTCCGCCTTAATAAAATAATTATCAAACCTTGATCACTATATCGTACCACTCATTATTTTTCTACTTCATAACCGCACTTAGTAAGAAAGCAGTAACAAAGTGTCATTTTACTTAAAATGTTATGCAAGGGAAGCCATTTTATAACCCAGTTTTATTGCAGTGGAGATGTAAACACGCATTACTTACGTCTCCGTACCCTGATGGTATTATCACCATAAAATGCTGCTAAAATGATCACAGATATGGCTGTCAAATTTTATAACCTCTCCAACCATAATCCATTAGACTGGATGTAATGTAATTTTATATTTAAAGTGTCACTCCTTATGAGCAATTGGGCTTCGTTCAGTTTCAATAGGTGAGTAGGTTCTAGTAAAATATTGTTAAGGTTTTTTTTATTCCGAAAATGTTACTTGCTAGTAAGAATCTACTTGAAAAGGGGTTTGTTTTAAGTCGCGTTTTCTTTTTCACTGGGAGGATGATAAGTAATGACAGACTGACAGACTATTTTTATTGTGTTCTTGACTCTCAAAAGTGTCTTTTCTGGTCTAATTAAAAGTATATATTTTCGCCATATCCATGTTTTCGTATTCTTTTCGAGGAGAAGGTGACTCGTGACATTTTCTATGTTCTCTTTAATTTTAACAAATATTTATTACACTGTAGTTTAGACTTGGCGTCTTCGAGTTTGCTGAAGCACTAATGCACTCTGAAGTACAGCTGTGCTTTAACAAAACTAAAGAACAACTACATTTCATTGTGAACTGTAGCGTTCGGGGAACTTTCTAGTATTATATCTAATAGCACATCGTACTGAAATGGAGCCATACTAGGTGCAAACAAGCACATCAACCTCTACCAGTCTCTTACCTTTCTCCAATGGATTTTCAACCTTATCTCTACGTAGCAAAGTTGGAAATAAGTTAAAGGAATTAGGTAGATTATGTATGTTGACTTGCGGTTGTCTACACAGCTAATGTCATAGCGAAACGTGTCATTAAACTTCGCTAATGGATGTTCCACAAACAAGTAAAGAGCATACAATTATTTTTAGCACCGGCCATTAATCAAATGGTAAGAGAGAATTACCGCATAATTAAGTCAAAAACAGGAATAAAGTTGTGGTGATAAGTTACCGTGTCACGTTTATCCCGCGGATTCCCGTGAGGGATGGTTTGCAGCCAAAAGATTTATATCTCGTTCCCACCGCAGATCTGTTGCTTCATTGGTTGAATAAGTGCAAGCAAGAACAATGAGGTTTAGGTTCATAGGTGGAAGACATTGTTATAAAATGATTCTATTTTCGAAATTCATGAAAAAGAAAGCATCTGGAATTGTACTTGTATATGGCAATAGATATGACCCCTTATCAAAATGAACTTATAACGCTACTAGCGAAAAATTGGTTTATTAAATTAGTATATTAAAGTATTAGGGAAAAGACAGTGTAATATTACTTCAGATTGAAGTTAGTACTAGTATATTTTATGGAGGACATGGGGGGAACATCTTTCCTCCTCCACCCTCCTTTCTAGATTGGACATAAAATTCGTGCGGACTCATATAATATGAGTAGAGTTATGAAATTGCACTCAAACCGTAACTTGAATTTAAGTTCTATGTTCCTACGTATGTACAATCAACACAGTTAATTGGTATCCAGGTACGAACATAAAGATTGACTCGGTACAGAGACAACTATTGTTACTCAAAAACTTCTAAAAACAATAGTTTTCTATCATATTAAATTAGTCATGGTGGCCGAAGGTTTAAGACGGGTACCAACGACAAGTACCAATGTGACTTTTCCGAGTTATATGCACTTTCTGAACTTATCTAGACACCAATGACTTACGGTAAAGAAAAACATCGTAAGGAAACTTGGGCTTAAAATTTGTAATTATAAGTTTGTTATCGCCAACACGCATTGAGCAAGCGTGATGATTAATGCTCAAACCTTCTCAGTGCGAGAAGAGGTCGTTGGTCAGCAGTAGCCACTTATAAGCTGTTGATAATAGTTTTAATGAAGGCATACCTTTTGTAACCATTCAGCTCAGTAGTCAAACAATGATTACTATGTCTGTATGTACTCGGTTAATCTTTGTTTTCGTACCTGTATACCAAATGACGTTGCAGATTGTACGGACGATCAGCTGGTATGTTTTCCAAAAATACAGGGGGTATATGGAACGCTCCCGAAAACGCTGATAGAAAAATATTTTTACAATTTGAATCTTTTTTGTTTATATGTTATTCATGCAACATCAGCCTTGAGCAGTTGATTCTATCTATTACATAAAAAAAACATTTAATTCCTTAATTTTATCAAAATTAAGCTTGTTTTTTTTTCCATGACCTGTCGATGTTTTTCGGGAGCGGTTCCGATTACATCCTGTATTAAGGTGCTCCCTCACCGGAGCATGCATGTGTAATGTAACATTATAGATTCGACTTTGAGCATTACATTACAATAATACCTCGCTGACTAACGAGCATTTGCTTGTAATGTAACATATAGATTCGACTTTGAGCATTTTATAGCAAGACATTGATGTTACAAATTGTATCAAGATATTACACATTGAATCATTACAAGGTGCGCATTGTAATGCTCGGTTCTCCTCCTTCACTGATGTAATGCTCAGATCTGTAACGTTACATTACACGCGAATGAGCACCTTTACGTTTTCTGTATAGTTCTGTGAGTACAAGTTCGCTACTGAAGTTCAATATAGCTGACTGGTTTAGGTAGAAGTTTATGCATTAGCTGATTTGATGTTCGTATGTTGGAGATTGATCGTATTTAGGTACATTTAGGTGCATTACTCGAAAACTTTTGAGATACTTTTTACAATATTTATGATTATAAAAACGGTTTTGATTTTAAATGGTCTTAGTACGCTTTCGAAGCAAATTGGAATTTGCAAAACACAATTTTCAAACTAAAATGAGTACGTATATCGAATTCTTAAGATATGAATGATATATTATGGCATAGCCGGTAAACGAGCAGACGGATCACATGATGGTAAGCAATCGGCGGCGCCCATGAACACCTGGAACACCAGAGGCGTTACAAATGCGTTGCCGTCCTTTTGGGAATTAAGAGTTTGAGGATCGTTGGGGATTCAGGGATTGGGGAGATTGGAGAAGGGGACAGGGGTTATTGGGGGCCGCCGGTAACCTCACTTATACGACGAAACACAACGCAAGCGTTGCTTCACGTCGGTTTACTGTGAGGCCGTCGTATCACTCCGGTCGAGCCGGCCTATTCGTGCCGAAGCATGGCTCTCCCACACTAAAAACATTAGACCAAAAATTTACATTAATATAGAGGTAGAACATGCCTAAAAGTTTTACGGCACATAAATGCTTCTTATAAATACCACCATAATATACAGACGAAGAAATAAAATTATCCACAACGACCACTACTTAATTAGCACTACTTATTTAGTAATAATTAAGAGATAATTAATGTTTGTTTTCCCTTATATTAACGACCACTTTATAAAGTGGCTTTGGACGAAACTACGAGGCGCAAGGGACCCGCCATTTAACGCCCTGGCCTGGCCTGGCCTGGCCCCATTAACATTGTAATTCAAAAAGTGACGTCAATACTTCATTAAGTTAATTTGGAATAATCATTATTAAGAGCTATTCATTGTATAGTGTTGGCCAATATATCAGTAGTTTAATTCTCACCAATGAAAATATTTGTTTATTACGCTCGAACGCCTAAACTACTGGACCGATTTTAATTTAATAGATACAGGTACTAGACAGATAGAACAGGGACTCTATAGTCCCCGTTCTATCTGTCTGTTTAAACTGTTTACGGTTTTATAAAGCTGTTTTTGAACATTGTTTCCTATTCGTCATTATGAAGACTGTAACATAACTTCTCAAAGGAGAGGTTATTGTTTTTATAATAACTATCGTGAGACATACTAAATTAACTTAAAATCGCGGGTTACAAACGTGAATATACTGCTCATGAGGAAGAACCCCTCTGCGGTTCGAAACTGAGCTTTTCTCAGAATATTCACGCGTGTAACCCGCGATATTTAGTTAAGGTTATTGTTTCTTAAAAGTAGTGTTTAATTATTTCAATCATTGTTCACAGCTCGCGATCTACGCCGGATACGCAGTGATGGCATTCTTAGCTTCATTCGCCATATCACTAGCATTCGAAGCTCCAGCCGTAAGACTTCTAAAGATCATCAGCGGAGCACCACGAAGCAAGAAGGCCGTAAGGGCGTGAACACATTCAACAAACTCCTCGGCTGAAGCAATAACACGCGCAAAATAAACGTGTTCATTACTTACGTCACTGGTTCAACGCGCACATTGTAAATAAAAAAAATCCCCATATTACTTACCTTGCCAATATTTCTTAATGCAAAGGTAAGTTCGAAAATCCGATATCCTGTTTATTAAGAGATTTAATTTCCTGTATCTGTCTGTCTGTTATGACAAAACATTCCATATGAGTGCGTCGTATCGAAGCTTTATTTAGGTTGTTATTTTAAAACCCCGACTCGTTAGGATTTGATAGTTACCATAAAGACTTTTATAGTTACCAATTGTGAGTTCATATTATTTTATCTGACGGTTTTGGACGTAAAGTTAGTGTAATCGTAGGGTTTTCGGTCGTACGCCGAGTCACTGTTCGTTGTAACACGAATTCAAAGGGTAATGTGTTATTGCTTTATCTGTACACGAGAATGGCACATTGTCACAAGTGCGAGTCATCACGGGCCCGCCGACCCAGTTGTGAACTTTAAGCACGCCCTTAGTGAAGCCTAGAGATTTTGGCAACCGATTTTAAATGCAGCTGATGTTGCAATTTTGGTAGTTTGTATGTGAATAAAATTTTGCTATTGCTAGCTATTGCCTATAGCGGAAAGTAGTCATAAAAACAAAAGCCCCAAAAATGTAAATAATAAGGTAAACAAAACGAATAAACAATCGCATATCGCCAACATCTACAAAGCCTTAAACCAAATAAAATAAAGCATATTATCATCTATCTCACGTTTTCATAAATCAATAAAATGATTTCTCCAATTGTCGAATATTCCGTGTCGCTTCAGAATATGATAATTTATTATGATTACACTCCATAACCGCGCCTACATGCAATGAATCAATCATGGCGGCTCACCGCGCGTTATCTCGCTCGCCGCATACATAAATCCTCTTTGTATAATAACTAGGTTCTTGTTAGGGACCCCAAACCGTATTGTGTGTCGCCACTGATCTTGTTTTTGTTGCCAAAAAGCGGGACAGATGTTATTTGATAAATATGCAGAGGCCTTAGTACGAATTTTTTACGTGTACGAGTACTCGTTCGGAGTTTTGATTGGCCGGTGCCTATGAACCAACCAATCAGAGTGTAAGACGCGGTCCCGTTTCGATTACTTTATGCGTGAAAGAAACTCGTACTAAGGCCTAAGTACTATTGTCTTATGGACCTGTGTAAGTACTAGCAATAAACATGCTGGTAAATAAATAAGTGGATAGGATTATGTTCTTGCTTGTTAATATAGACAAGGGTTTGTTAAAGAATCTTCTTTCATTTCACAATCTGTTTGGGTGACAATGTTTTGTGTATGGGCACAAATATTTGCGCGTTATTAGCGGTAATGACCGACCATTGTTCATAAAACCCGTAGTTAGACAATCTGACTGCGACCGTCTAACAAGCCGTCAGATGTATATATGAATTCCGAGGCATAAATTTTATTGTGTCTGAAAACTGAATCCAATAAATTACAATAATTGTGTTAAATATGTATAATTCGAGGACCTATTAAATATTTTCTACCTCTAATAAGTACGTAGTGTCGTTAACAGAGTTAGTTCTTATTTGACGGTAGTGTAGGAGTAGGTCCAAGCAAACTTTGCTTTCTTTGGTAAGTTAGTACAATTATATTTAATGTATTTCTTATCAATAGTTAGCAAGGAGCGTATAATTTAGTTTGTAATTAGATACGGTAATATATTTTTAACATGTGATATTTTATTGAATATTTAGAGGGTCCTTGATTAATATTCTCATACATTTTCTTCATATTTTATTGACGTCATATTTTTTTATTCTTATAAATGCATGACCTCAGTAAATATAATGAAAAATGAAATGTAAATATAAAGTATTTCGATCAAAATACTCTGACACGTTACATGATATTTGTAAATAGCTGATTTTATATAATAAACGTTATTTAATTACTTTAAGATGTATTTTTATTTGACCTCTTTCCACAGGTTTAAAAACTTTTACATTGTAGTTAAAAACTCGTTTGCCCACTGTTTCAGGAAATAGTAAGAACATAATTATATATTAAAAACTCTATGGGATTGTTTATTTTTTGAAATTACGAAAATAAACAACATTTCATTATAAAATCAAAATAATTGTTATGAGATTTGTTACACAGCACTGCAAGTAACCTTGGAGAAGACTAATTATAAAATCCAAAATTTGTCAGAAGTCATTATTTTAGGCGAACGAAGTCGCGAGGAACAGCTAGTATATTATAAATAGGTACATCACAACTGTTCAGTAATAATAGTTAGGCAGTAATACCTAGATTATCTTCAAGGATATCAACAGAAAGACTGATAGTAATAAAGGCTATCACATGGCTACTTTGCTAATTAGTAATTATCTAATATAATATTAACTTCAGCTTTCTGAAGGAAATTCTTTAGTGACTAAATCAAACCAAACCTACCTACTAAAGCCAGATCTTATGAAAATAAAAAAGGATTGAACATTATTATCATCAACAGCCTATAAATGCCCACTGCTGAGCAAAGCCTCTTCACACACGGAAAAGGTTTGAGCATTAATCACCACGCTTGCTCATTGCGGGTTGGCGATTTCAAACTAATAGTTAGAAATTATAAGGCCAGGTTTCCTCACGATGTTTTCCTTCACCGTTTGTCAGCGGTGTCTAAATAATCTTAGACAGTACATATAACTCGGAAAAAGTCACATTGGTACTTGCTGTTGGTAGGTTTCGAACCCGCACACTCATGCAAGAGAAGCGGGGGTCTTAACCTCCGGGCAGTATTTTCCCACGGAAATGCTTTCATTATTAGGTATATATTTTACTCACAACCCTGTTAAAATTATTAATCCAATTCGCCATTTGAAAACAACTACATAATATTATTTAATTCTTCTCAATTCTAAACATCTATCAGGAAAACCGTTACAAAACAGTCAACCGATTCAACCTAATGGTCCGTGGAAGCAAATCGCGTCAGAATGAACGGAAAAATAATAAAGACTTCCTGAAATAAAACCGGTGTAGATACTTCGGATGGGATGAGATTAGATACGTGTGGCTTTGAGACACGGTTGGGTGAGTACAAAATACTGCGTAGACCAGAAACTTTATGCTAGCCAAGGAGAAGGCAGGGCGCGTGAGGGAACAAAGCTCCTCACGCCCCAGCCGTCGCGGGAGACACTGGGCGTCGGAGATCGCGCGACGATCTCCAGCAACCGTGAGTGCGGGTCTTCGGATGGTGAGCAAGGGTAGCTTGTCGCCTGACCAGAACCAGACCCGTGCATACGGCGCGCCGCGTTCTGCGCGCGCCTCAAAGAGCCATCAGACCATCACAGGTAGGGCCCAGTAGTGCTGATGCCTAATACGGAGCCGCGGAAGGCCTCCGGCTCGAAGAGGAGTAGGAACGGGGTCGTTTTTAGTCAGTAAGACTCTGACACTCCCTCTCGCCTAACCCAAGTCGGAAGAAGTCATTGTATGACTTTTTTGAGGGGGATCCCTCAAAAACAAAGGCCAGAAACTTTAGTCTACAGGAGAGATCTTCAGGGTTTCTTCAATAATATGAAGAAGAATGACCGAAAGTTCAGGATTGGTAAGAAGACTCACTGAGAACTTGTTACCACTACATCAACAGCCCATGACAATGACAGTCCACTGCTAGGCTATGAGCCTCCTCTATCTATATCCTAATATATTAAATGTGAAAGTTCGTGAGGAACTGCGGAAACTGAAATAGGAACTGAGGAAGGTATGTGCGTGTATATTTGTTATCTTTGACGACAAAACGGCTGAAAGGATCGAAATGAAATTAGGAACAGGGGTATATTATGGTCTGTAATAACACATAGGCCACTTTTAATCGCACAAGGACGCGAGCGAAGCTGCTGGCTGAAGTTAGTGTTAGTTAGTTACATAATATGTCTCGTGTTGACTGGTCATGGTGAAAAATATTCTCTATCGTCACCATACGATAACACCATGCAAGACATGGTTATTTCTTTATCAAGGTAGATTCATTAACCTACATAGAATAAAACGACTACGAGTACCCCGTGAAGCAGGTAAGTCAAGTCAGTCAAATAAAAGTCCCTCGTCTGTGCAGGTTCTAATGCCACAGAAAAGTTGCTCGATCGATTCGCCGCATACCTACTGGCCGCCTTATGCCCCGTAGGAATAACCATCAGCCATAAAATACGGAAATGCGCCGGCAAATTGATAGTTTCGTGAAGAATTCCGATTTTCTACGTATATTGGATGTACTGCGATCGCGTGAATAGATGAGATAAAGAAAAATAGTAGAATTAATCTTATCTTAATAGGAAATGCTTTTTGAAATACTTGAATAGTACCAAATTACTGACACTTGTGGAAATAACTAGTATTACAATCGTCTTTCAGCATTGCATTTAATAGACATTCAACCTCTTTTTTAACCGACTTCAAATAAGGAGGAGGTTCTCAATTCGATCGTATATATGTTTTTTTTATTAAATCGGACCGACTGCATGGAAGAATTCATTGATGAGATTGATACTAGTGAACGCAATCAATTCCATATCAAACAAAATATTTTAAAAGTAGGGTGTAAAAGAAATAAAAACAAAACAACTAGGTATATACATATACATAGGTATAAACATCACAAATTATTCAAACGTCATAAAATTCGTTAGAGTACATTCCTTCCGTAATATTGCCAGCTTAATCGTAATTGAAATAGAATTTAGGAAAATTATCCGTAATTTCCTGTGGACATTTAATAGATTGAATTTTCCCCTGAATTGGGGTAAAGTTACCCACTCATACTAATGAAGAGGCTGTATGCAGTGTAAGTGTTTAAATAGAGGAAAATTGATTGAAATTTTATAAAAAGAGATTATGTCCTATTTTTTATCTCAAACTGTTGTAAAATGTATGAAATAGTATTTATGATTACCATAAAGTGTTACAAAAATGCAAATAA